AGTTACAGTGCAGTTGGTCAATAAAAATGAAATAATTCTGCAAGACCTTTGCTTTTATCCTTTGTGAATTATTCAGCTGCAGTTGTAAACATGGGGATTTTTGATATGGCAACAGCAGCAGTGCTTTGCAAATGAGAACTAAGGCTGTCCGAATGCTAATGGCTCACTGCTGTCTTTCTTACTCCTTAGTTTTTAAGAGCTTATGTTCTTAAATTTCTGCTGGAATACAATGGAAACTATATTAACTGTACTTACAGAGTGGGGAAAAAAGTATGCTGTGCTGACATGATAAAATAATAAGGAACGTGAGTGGGATCAGTTCCACCAGGAAGTAGTGGCAAATGCTCTTTTTTCTTTTTAAGTAGAAGAACACGAATATCTTTGCATCATAGGATTGTTTTTTGTTTTCTTGAGTTTTCCTCTCCCTTTCCCAAAGAATTATAGACCTGCTAATCTGTAAAGTTGTAAATGTTTGGCAGCACATCATCCTTTTGTGTGGGTCTGATGAGGAAGGAGGTCTTCACAGTGTTGCTGCTTTTAGTGTCAACCTACTGTTTCTCTCTCCTCCTCCTGGAATTGGAATCAAAGAATCATTTGGGTCAGAAGAGACCTTTAAAGCCTGTCTAGTCCAACTCTGCAGTGAACAGAGACATCCACAGCTCAGTCAGGTGCTCAGAATCACAGAATGGCCAGGGTTGGAAGGGACCTCAAGGATCACGAATCTCCAACCCCCTGCCACACGCAGGGCCACCAACCTCCACATTTCATAGCAGCCCAGGGCTCCATCCAGCCTGGCCTTGAACACCTCCAGGGATGGACGGGGCATCACAGCCTCTCTGGGCAGCTGTTCCAATACCTCACCACTCTCATAGCAAAGAACTTCCCCCTGCATCAGGCCTTACTATTTTACTCAAGTGGCTGTGAGGTTTCTGGGGCCAATCACAAGAGGAAGGTCTTTACTATTTTTCAGGGAAATGAACGTCATTTAAAGTTAGTCCATGCTTGTGTCAGAAAGAAGTGTTAGAAATTAGCCCCAGGTCTACAGCAGTTACAGGAAGGATTAAACCTAGTGTCGCTATATTTTAATAAAGGCCTAAGACTTCTATGAAAAAAAGAAACAAAAAGAATCCATCGCAGTAACTAGCATGTAAAATAAAGATTAATAAGGCTGTACAAAACTCTCTGCTACGAATCATTATAATCTCCTTTTTTGACAAGATTACCGAACTCGTTGACCAGTGGAAACCAGATGATGTAATCGTTTTGGATTTCAGCAAAACTGTTTCTCACAGTGTTTTTCTGAACAACATTTCCAGCATCCAGCTAGACAGAAATATAACATGGTGGGTGAACAACAGTTTGATGAGTTGAGCACAAAGGTTTGTAGGAAATGGTGTTACATCAGGCTGGCAGCCAGTCAGTAATGGGGTTCCACAGAGCTCCTTTTCGGGGCCAGCTGTCTTTAGTGTTCTCATCAATGACTTGGATACAAGGCTTGAAGATGTCTTTTCTAGCTTTGGTGAAATTTTTTATGCGGTCCTGCAAGGGCATTGGTTTGGTTTATGCTCTAAATACGTGAGTTTGTTCTTGCTTTGATTATTTTCCTAATTTTCTTTACGTATTTAGCATTAAAAGCAGTAATCGTATTCTTAGAGTGAAGCATTTGATACATGCACGTGAAATTATCACAAACATGCTAAGGAAATGTGGCCCATTTGAAGAATAACCAGAGTATCTGTAATGATTTCTCTTTGAGATTAGGTGATAAATTAAGGTAGGCTTTGAGTGGGTTGGTTTTACCCATGCCAGCAGACTGGCTCAAAGTCAGTGGAGTCCAAAGAGAACTCTGATCTGTACCAGAGATAAAGGAGCCATTCTGCTCCATTTGATGGAGCAAAGCTTCCAGAGCACTGTACCTGCATGGGCACCGTGCATTAAAAAAAGCTACAGAGGCAACATGCTGCCTTGGAAAGCTCTGTAAATGATCTGTGGTCTAGAAACATCTAAGAATTTAAGAAATTAAGGAAAAGAGAAAGAAAAGGGAAGAAAAACACGTTTGCCAGGCTTGTGGTTTGCATGCATGTGCTGTGAAAAAATGCATGTGTACATGTATGAAAATATTTGTTTAATTCCTCTCAGAATAGGCAACAATTGGAGTTCAGATAAAGTGCTGAAAGTTTCAAATTGAATCAAAGATCGTGAAGTCATGAAGTAAGGAATATTTGTAATCCTAACTTTGCAAGCTGCACTAGGTTATTTTTTTGTCTCAGATACCAGCTGCTGCTGCGTTCCATACATTTCCCAAGGATTAGTAAAACTTGGAGCTGTACACAAGGCGTTTTCAGCTTTTGGCATTTTTAGCACGGTGTCGTTGCACAATACAGTGGGAGGAAATGCCCATGGGGAGAGCTTACTCCTGCAGTAGCTGAAATACTAAGCTTTTGGCTGCAGTAACAGCCCGCTGCGGGGCAGGGATCTTAGAGTCTTTCTTTTCTGAAATGTGAGGTAGGATTTAAAACGTGAACTCGAACCCATGTCTGCTGGCTGCAAAAGGAGTGTGCTACCATGAGGTGGAACTTCCAGCAACACGGTGAGCATGGGGACTTCAAGGGGAACACACTGCAGTTCCTGTATGCAGAGATGCCGGCAGCACTTGGAGCTGCAGTTAAATTCCATCTGCATGTGTTTGTTCTCCAAAGTGAGGGGAAATCTTTTGGTATATTCCCTGATACGATAATATCCTTCTTTTATGTAAGGAAGATTAGGTACAGCAGGAAAGACCAGAAAGGAGAAGTTGAAACTCACTTTCCTGCACGAGCACGGAAAATTAAATTTGTCTCAGAGGTTATTCTTGGCAGTTTGCACGGCGTACCAACAGCTATTTAAACTGCACAAACTTTAATAGGGGAAAAAGGAAAGCATTTATATTTCATTTTTTCTCAATCCTCCAAAATGCACGAAAAGGCGTGTATTGAGCGAAGCACAGTGGAGCAGTGATCGGACGGCTGCAGAGTGCTCTACTGAGGCATTCAGTGAGGTGAGGCTGTATGGCTCCTCAGGGATTGCACTTCCTTCATTTTGTGAGCACGCTGTGAGATTCAGCAGCTTGTCAGTCATACTGCAGCTTCTTTGAAACACAGGACGGAGCACAACTGATGGCCCGTGTGAGCAGCTTATATCTGGTACACGGGCTGTTTCTTGGATGATCTCTAGCCAGCCTAAGCCAGAGCAGTAGGGAATAGGAGCGGTTGGAAATTTGCAGACTTTGCAGCTGTTGCCCCGTGGTTCACATTTTTATGAGCACCTTGCATAATGCCCTGTTCCATTTCTTTGCAGTGCAGGGTCTCCCTCCGTGACCAGGTGAAATCCCCTAGAGCTCCCATGCTGCAGGCTGCTCTTAGGGTTTGTAGTGGTTGTTATCAGTTCTGTCTGCCAAAGGAGCTGGACAGCAAACAGAGATGGGGGGAGGTTATAAAGGATGCAGTCTGCATTTTTCTGTGGTATCATTTCTGACTGATGATTAGTCAACGTAAGTGGATGTTGGCAGAAGTGCCAAGTAAGCTGGCTGGGAATTTAAAACCATTGTTAATATTTGAAAATCTATTTGTGTTTGGTTGTGCAATCTCTAATGAGTTATCAGCTTCAAACTAAGCGAGGGAAATCAATAATGTCTTTGTTGTAAGAACAAGGCTCTGATTTAAGAGAGTACTTGCCATTAAATTAGTCTCTAGAAAGTTTTGTAATAAAATAGGCAAGATCTCTGTGAAACAAAAAGTAAGAGAGCATCTTTGTCCTGTTCACCCATTGCTGTGCAGCATCTTTGGTTTGAAGGACGTGTGTTTGTGCGTACAAACCAAGGGACTGGACAGTTTATGAGACTTACAAATGGAAATTTGCCCAGAGATGTGGTGGATGCCTCATCCTTGGAGACATTCAAGGTCCAGCTGGATGGGGCTCTGAGCACCTGATGGAGCTGTAGGTATCCCTGTTCACTGCAGGGCAGTCGGGCCAGGTGGCCCTTCCAACTCAAACTCTGTGATTCTATGATTCTAGTCTATGAAATCAACAAGAAAAGAGCATGGGGACAATCTGAAATAGATCTTTTGCACAGGAGAGAAAGGAATCAGCCTGCACTGACATCTGTGTCCACAGTCACCTCAAGCATGTGGCCAGGTGGGTCTGTCTGAGGGGTGTTTGGTGTCTGTGGCTGCCACTGCATTGCCAGTTGAGCTGACAGATCTCACCTCATTGCCTCGTTTTGCAGTCAACTTCCACAATTATTAATAAGCCACAAAAGAAATAGAAGATGTAAGAACTGCAGTTTCTACAAAAGAATCTGGGACATCTCCCTCACTGCAGTGCCTTCGCTCCTCTAAGCAGCCAAGCCAGGACAACTCCAACACTGCAGCCATCAGACAGAATCAAAGAGAACATTGTGCCATCCTGGGGTGTTTATGAAGGTTGCTGAGCAATGTGTGTTTGCTGTCCAGTGACAGTTATTGTTAATGTCTGTGCATTAGAATTCAGAGCAGTGTGACCACAAAAGCAGCATCAGGACCTGCAGCAGGCCAGGTCCATCTAGCGGCCAGCGAAGGCACGTGCAGCATGTAGCAATGCGGATCGCACTGGCTGCATTTCAGCACGATATGTACGCTAATTCTGATCATTTAGAGAGGGAAAAAAAGAGGCTGGGGGAGAAAGAAAGAAATCATGAGTGAGTCTACACAGCAGCTGTCTTTCAGGTGTGCAGGCAGCCATTTCACGTGGCTGTTTCAAACTCTGAGTGAAGAAGCAGACAAGCAGAAGAGCAGGGTGGCTCCGTGGCACACGCTGTGCAGTACTTTCAACTGGGGGAGAAAATCACCAGTAGCTAAGTACAAAACACGATGCTCAGTTGTGGATTTCAGTGCTCTGTGCCAGTAGCACAGACAAATTTAATTGAAGTTAACAGCTTAAACAACTGCCAGACTCCAGAAAGTGTCCTGGTGAGAAGATGTGCTTTGGGCACCACGATTAATTTCCTGTCTTTTCCCTTTCTGTCTGGCAGGATCTCAGTGGCCCTATTTCAAAGCCACCCTCTGCAGTCCCCCCTATATCACCATGCTGCCCCTCACCCTACTGGTATCCACCCTGTACCCTCAGCACCTCTCAACTTAATAAGCAGGCTGGGGAGATGCTGAACTGGTTTGGAAAGAGAAGTCCCAAGTGTACATGGTACAACTGTGTGTATGCACACTGCTTGTTCCATGGAGCAATCCCAGATTCAGCAATTGTTCCAAAGACATCAGCACAGCTTTAAGTTTTAAAGTAACACTTCACAGGATTGACATTTATTAACTGTATACATCACATCAACACACAAGTGGTCCACAACAAACTCATCCTAGAGTATCTGTGAGTATAAAATAGAGGAGCGTTGATTCTCTGTGGCTTGCACAGCTTCCAAGGTACAGGACTTTGTGTGTTGCTTGAGGTGGGAAACCAGTGGTGCACCATTCTTCCTTTGTTTTCCTTCATTTTGTGTTGGTGTTTTCTTCTTCTCTTGAAAGGAAAGGAGGACCCTTCATTTGCTCTTGTTGCACTCTTGTTGAGTTTACTTTTTGTTCCTGCTTCCTGTACATCAAGCATGCAGCCATCTGTGCCTTCCTGCTTGCCCAGCCTCTGTGTGTTTATGCCTTGCTGGTTTATCAAGTGCCTTTTGCTACTGCAATTGTTACAGATCTACAAAGTGCTTAGCCATACTCCATGGTTATGCTTGGTTAATTTGCTTCTGCTTTTTAGGAGCACTAGGGAACAGCTATAGCAACCTGGTCCTGCTGGGTGACCATTGAGTCCCAACAGCGAGTATCTGTGTCTCTTAAAGGACAGGGTGATTGCACAAGGGAAAAAGTAAATGCTACTTCTAATCATCATCATCTTGGGAAGGTGTCCAACATTCTTTTATATGTGTCCTGGAGAAGCAATCCTGAGCATTTCCTGTTGAGGCGTGGCAGATGGAAACAAATGCACTATACTCTTTGTTCATAGAAGAAGAAAGGAATATGTTTACTGACATAAGATGCTGTTAAATCACAACATCAACAAGATGGCTGGATACGCGTGATGTTCTGCACAGAGGGTAGGTTAAACACATACAGGGCCCTCCTGTTGAGTCACAAGGTTCAGAATGGATCCCTTTGCTTCCTAAACTCCTTGGACCACAGGGGTAAGGAGCCTAAGTGTGGCTGGATCCTCTCCTAGTCCCAGAATTGGTCAGCAGTTTTTGTCACAATCAATCCAAGATGTGATATTAGCAAAGCTAAAAAAAAAAAAAAAAGACAGAACAGGTTATTAGTCATTTACTCAGGACCTGTATCAAGGTGTCTTGACATCAAGGTGTAAGGATTCTCTGCATAGGCATAGCTTTGAGAGGCATCTTTACTCACAAGGAGATGCAACTGTGCAGGAGAGCTTAAAGAGGCTCTTGGCTACTCACTGTTTATGGGGTAAGATGATTGACTCGTAGTCGTTGTGTTGTCTGAAGTTTGGAGTACCAAAGTGGAAGGAATGGAGTTTCTGTCTTACAGCAGAAAGGAGGCAGGGAAGGAAGAGCTACTTGAAGTGCAAGTGAAGAAACTGTAAGCATGGGGCACACCGGTGGAGCTGAGTGCCTCCAGCACTGAGACAGGCTGAAGCAGCCTGCTCCATGCAGGAGGGAGGCTACCCATTAGAACTAGTGGTAGGAATTCCTTCTGCCCCTCACACTTAAGATCTTGGGACAGATGGAAGACCCCTGTCTTGGCATCTCCACTTAAGTCGAGTTATGAGTTGTGCTGAGTTACATGCCTGGGAGGTGTGTGTCCATCTTCTTTGCTGGACATGGACATGACTTTGGACACAAGGACCCCATGCATCACTACAGGCTTGGGGCAGAGTGGCTGGAAAGCTGTGCAGAGGAAACTGACTCGGGGGTGTTGGTCAGTGCTCAGCTGAACATGAGCCAGCAGTGTGCTCACGTGTCCAAGAGGGCAACGGCATCCTGGCTTGTATCAGAAATAGTGTTGCCAGCAGGAGCAGGGGGGTGATCGTCCCTCTGTTCTCAGCTCTGGTGAGGCCTCTGCTGAGTCCTGTGTTCAGTGTTAAGCCTCTCACTGCAAGAAAGACATCAAGGCCCAAGGCCCTGGAGAGTGTCCAGAGAAAGGCAAAGAGGCTGTGAGGGGTCTGAAGCACAAGTGTTATGCGGAGCAGCTGAGGGAACCGGGATTCCTCAGACTGGAGAAAAGGATGCTCAGGAGAGACGTTATTGGTCTCTACAACTACTGAAAGGAGCTTGTGGTGGTGGGGATCAGTCTCTTCTGTGCAACTAGCAGGAATACAAGAGAGAGTGACCTTAAGTTACACCAGGGAAAGTTCAGGTTGGATATTAGGAAGAATTCATCCTCAGAATGGTCAGGCATTGGAACAGGCTGCCCAGGGAGATGGTGGGGTCAGCATCCCTGGAGGTGTTTAAGGAAAGGGCAGATGTAGTACTTAGGGACACGTTTTAGAGGGCAATGCTAGTGATAGGTAGACAGTGGGACTGAATGATCTTAAAGGCCTTCTCCAATGAAAAATGATTCTATGATTCTTGCAAACAGATTTTCCTTTTCTAGATGCAGTTTCAAACACAGTAATCCACATCAAGATTGTGTTCATACAGTTTGATTGAACAGAGAGTATTTTAGGCATAATATTAAAAACTCAGTTATACTGAAGGAAGAATTTTGGATCACGGAATTGCAGGGGTTGGAAGAGAACTCATGAGATCATTGAGTCCACCCCCCCTGCTAAAACTCATTCAGCTCTCATGAATGCTGTTTGAGAATGGGTGGAACCCAACTTCCTGCTCACTGCTCAGTCTTTCCTTACCTCCTGGCATCCCTTGGATTTGTAAATAGTCTTGGGCTGTTATTGGCACTCATCTGAAATAGCATCAGTGCACTCCAAATAAGAAAAAGATGAATGACACCATCCTGCAGGATTTCATCTGGCTGGATGTGCTTTTGTGGAGACAAACCTACAAAAGAAAATTGGTTAGTTACTGATGCATCTGATGTAGTTTCTCAGCTTCTAAGCTGTTACACTGATGTATGTCTTCTGCTGTATTGCGCTGCAAACTTCTGTTTTAAATCTGTTTCTTTACTGCAAAGTTTTCTTGCGCTTTATCATAAAGATTATTTTTTTTGTCTGGAAAAACTTAGGGATTGGGGTTCAGGTCCCTGCAGGTTGACTAAGGGCATTTCCACAAATGCATAAAAACCTCTTTAACTTCATGTTTGGATTGTTCTGTGCTCTGATGCTAAAACAGCTGATTGGTTGCTTCCTTATTCCTTCCTTTTCAGAACATCAGCACTGGGGCTCAGACCTACAGCTTCCCCAAATGCCTTTTGAAGAAATCATGTACAATGATGAGAGTGCCTACAAGTGGCTGCGCACCCTGAAGAAGATGGGAGTTGTGCTGCTAACAGGAGCTGCTGCAAGGCAGGGAGAGTTGGTGAAGCTTGGCCACAGGATTGGTTTCCTGCGTCTCACTTTTTATGGGTGAGTTGGGATTTTTAATAACCTTGCTTTGCCAGCTATGTAATTACTTCCAGAGCATTTGAATTCAGCTTGCTGGACCTCTCTTGTGGGTTAATTTATTAAAACAGGATTAATTTTTCCTTGCCTGCAGATGCAAGGACAATTCTTATTGAAAAGCCACAAGCAGATCCACAAGGCAGCACTGTGTACCCCATGAGGCTATGCAGAAGGCCTCTTCCAAATTGCTATATCCACAAACAACAGTGGACTCTGCAGCTTGGCCTAGGTTACCCCTTCCTTGGTGAGATTTCTGGAGCAGGTTCTCATCTTAACTTCAGTTAATGTGTTGTCCAGGAACGGACAACACACTGAGGAGGAGAGGCAAAATGCAGGCTGGTTGAGATCCGGAACCTGGTTCCACTGCATGTCCCATGCCCCTCTGGGCACAGATCCCAGCCATGTATGCTCCTGGGATAATAGATACTAAAGCACAGTTATTTCTTGTGCCTGAATAGACCCCAAAACCAGAATATTTAGAGCTTTCAGCTAGAAAGCTCCCTTCTCCCCTATAAAAATATATATATATATAAGACTTGTCCTTCACTTGGACCTACCTCATTCAGAAAATAACCAGGTAAACTATGTGGGCAACAGCCAGTGTCTCTTCCATTGACTAAATGGCTTAAAACAGAAAGAAGTAGAAATATAAAAAGTCAGCCTTTGCCAGAAGGACCACATTCCATCCAGTCTTCAACTCAGACGGGGAGATTTTCTTCCCCTTCATGCAGTCGGAGGCTTTTTTCTTCCCCCTTTCTACTTACTGGGCCAGAAAGAAAAGTAGATTTCAATGTTAGCTGGGATTCATTCATGTCAATCCTACTAAAACCAATGGGAACAGAACTTCCTGCTTGACTTGGAAACCTCACCTAGTGCTAGTTAACATGTTCTGCTTTTAAAAGCATTCCTGATGTCAGGCACTTCTCTGCTTGGCAGCCCACCACAGGTCTTGACAGCTTGTGCCATGATGAAAGTGGTACTTCTTGCTGTTTCTGTTCTGACGTGATCCTAGTAAGAAAGTTAAGCCAACAAAAGATTCAGATTTACTTGTATCATCAGTTGGAGGGTTTGTTTGTCTGTTTGTTCTACATCTCTTTCATGAAGTTAGATGTACCTCACCGATTCTCACCAAATATGATTATAAATAGCAGTGTTACTAAATACTTCCCCTTGTTTCAGGCCAAGGTGGAAACTGGACACCAGTCCACACCATTTGGACAAATAACAGTTAGAGCTGCTTTCACTGTTTAAATCAAATTCTCTGTTGGTGTTGACTAAACCTTATTTTCCCGCTGTTAATCACAAAGACCGGAACCAGAAAGTTGGGCTGCAAAGCATTAACCCTTCTCAAAAGAGTCACTCCCTATTTTGCTGCACAACTGTTAGCCACATCTCCTCCTCACAGTCGGCTTACACACACCTTGGCACACACGGTGCTCATGAAATGGGCTTTAAATGACTCTTCAGACCATGCTTTTTATAAAGTCTTTTAAAAAATAGTTCATTACTTTGGCTTATTTTTGGGGGGTAGCAGTGCTGGCTTTTTTCAAGTGTTTTATAAGAAAGCAGTTGCTTAATTTTTGCCATGTATATCTCGAATCCACTCTTAAAATACTACTAAAATAGAAGAGAGAAGACTTTACCTATGGTATCTTTTCTCCTAAGTTAACCTGTTTAATTTTCAGGCAGTTAGTGCTGTACCCAGCTGTGCTGTTCTCAGACATTGCTCGCAGTAGCAGAAACTCTCCTGAGCTTCCAGCCTTAACAACAGGCTTAGAGCCATTTTATGTCTCGTCCTCTCTAAAAATGTTCATAGATTACTGGCAGACAGTTCTAAAAAGAGATTTTTAGAACTGTAATAAAATAACCGTTGCTAATCCCCTTGCTATTTCACCAGTGCCCAAATGCAAGACATAACAAATACTGTAAAGGAAAGGGATGACTTTTGGATTGGTCCAGCTTGGCAAATAAAATATACCTCTGTAGGGCCATGTATGCTTACTGGAACGTAATAGTAACAGATCTATCCCTTTTTTCACATCTAGATGTCTGCTTGGTACATGCTGTCCTACAGTGTCATCAGAATCACAGAAAGGCTTGGGTTGGAAGGGCCCTTAAAGGCCATCCAGTTCCAACCCCCTGCCACAGGCTGCTTCCCACCCACCTGAGCAGGCTGCCCCATCCTGCTGGCCTTGAGCACCCCCAGGGATGGGGCATTCACAGCTTCTCTGGGCAGCCCCACTTTACCCCTCCCAGAGGGCTCTGGCTGCCATAGAAGGATGCAAGTCCCAAACCTTTTGTGAATGAGATCTCAGTTTTTAATACAGTGCGAGGCCAGACAATTTACATGTGGCTTCAGTTCCTACTGCAACCATTTGCCAAAACTAAAGATGTGCCAGGCACACTTGTTCTCTGCTCAGAGAGACTGAGCTCACATTGCCTCTTAATGCAAAAAAAAAATTGCTACACCTGCCTGGTGCCAAATTTCCTGCTCAGTCAAACAGTATGAGCAATTGAGGTTGAAATTTAACCGTGATTTCTAAGTCATAAACCATTCCAACTGCTCTCCTCTCTCTGAGGGTGAGAGCTTCCTAACACTACCTGTGTTTTTTTTCCTTCACTTATCCTGCACTTGCTGGCTCTCCACGTGGCTGAGTTCATGCTTCAGAGCCGTTGATACCCTGACAAAGTGAAACTGATTATTTTCCACGCTTAACAGCCAGCTCCCTATTTGCACTGCTTTCTCTTTTTAACCATGGCTGGTTGCAGACAGTGATGAGCTTTGACAGCAGCTCCACACGTGGAGAGGTTCTTGGGGACCAGCTCCCTACCAAGCATAGCAGCAGGACAGCTCTGACTTCCCTCACAAGGTGGTGTCGCAGTGACTTGTAAATGATTCTCATTCCAGCAATCCTATGTAGAATTGCAGAATTGTTTGAATTGGAAGGGACCAAAGTCATCTAGTCCAACTCCCCTGCAATGAACAAAAAGCATCTGTGGACTATATAAAATGATTTTGGTCTCCATGTTCTTTAGCCTCTGTTCTAAATATTAAGAAGTAAGATTTGAGCACACTACAAATAGTATATTTGGTGTACAGTAGTTAAAGTAGGAAATAAAATGAGTTTTATATTTTTCTTTTGAGTAATTTATGCTCTTGTGATGCCACAGCCTGCTTATGGTGACATATATAGACAGGGATCTACGCTATGCTTTTGTTGAGGGCTGCCTTCAGGCATGTGCTCTGTACAATCCTAACGTGATTCATGTGATAATATGTGCTCTGTATAATCCTAACATGCGATAATTTCATATCATTTTGAACGTTCAAAGACGCAGTAACTCTCCTCTACTCTGATTTCACACTTTCACCTTGCACTAACTGATTGCTCAACATGTTTGCTCTTTGCCCTTTCATTCTACAGGCCAACTTGGCAAGTGCAGGACAAAGCAGATGCCAACAATGTGGCTTACACAACAGGGAAGCTGTGCTTTCACACCGACTACCCTGTCCTGCAGCACCCACCTGGGGTAAGGTGAACCTACCAGCTTCTTCACAATGCAAAGGGGGAAAGCACGAAGGTCCGGTATGTGCTTTTGATACTGTTCATTGTAACAAAGCAGTTGGGTGTTTAGATGCTGCAGCCACATTGTGGCATCTTAGGACAAGAGGAGAAGCAACTGGGAGAAGAACGATTAAGATACTGTATTGCCTTCTGCAAACTTGCTGAGATTAGACAAGTTTTCACCCTTTCACAGAATCACAGAAACACCAAGGTTGGAAAAGACCTACAGGCTCATTCAGTCCAACTGTCCACCTATCACCAATAGTTCTCACTAAACCACATCCCTCACCACAACGCCTGCACGTTCCTTTCATGAAGGAGCACTCTGTAAAGCTGAACCACCGCAGGAAATAGGTGGTCACCCCACCCTGTCACAGCAAAGCCTGATCCACTTCCTCAGGGAACTGAAAAGTAATAGAAACGTGTGCAAAAGAACAAGTTAATCCTGCAAAGGTTTGCATCTATACCTACTGCTTCCCTTTCTTATTCGTCAAGAGTACTTCATATCATTTTTTTCAGTAATTAAAAAGTCAGCGTGGTTTATCCACATATAAATGCCAGATTAACATTGCCTATTTAAGATGCTCTTCATTAACATAATACTAAGATTAAGAATAGAACAGTTGTAGCAATTGGACAGATCAATAGAATGGGAAAAGTGTTACAACAAAGGTGAGATGATAAAAGGACTGGAACAATAGAGAGCTGCTATAAGGGAAGGGAAGAAGGTTGCTTAGCTGTATCAGAAGATTCTAGAATGACAGGGGAAAGCTTCACCAAGGAGGGATGTCCAGAAAGAGATCCTGCCCCAGTAGCAGTCAGCCCCTAAATGAGGTCCTAAGAGAGATGGAGCCAGGCTCCTCTCCTGGTCACACAGCTGAACTGCCTTCACCTGTGCTCCAGGGCTGACCAGGTCCTTTCCCCAGGTGCTCAATCAGTGGCTCAGGCCACTCAGGCCATGACTCAACAGTTCCCCTACAACACTACTTTGTTAATTGAGCACAGATGTGAATTAGCTCAGTGTCTTATTTGTGCCAAGGCTCTCACTGTTACCAAACATGAGTAAAAGGGCAAAACCTTTTTTCATGCAAATATGCTCACAAGACATAGAATCCAAAGGCAGTGGGACAGTAGGGTAGGAAGCTGCTGCATCGTGTAGATAAGTTATTTGTAGCCTTTACAAGCCAATGAAGATTAGAGGAGGAATGGCTGTCTGCCAGTCTTGGGCAGAGCTGCTTCCTTCTGCTTTATGCTGGTGGAGTCCCCTCCTGCAGCAGCAGCTGTTTGGTCCTTCTCTCAAGGGCTGTGGGTGCAGCACTGCAGTAGACTGTGGCAAACTGTTCTCTGCTTCTCTCTCCCCAGTGTTTCTTATTTTTCCTCCACTGTCTCAGAAATAGTTCACTACCATGGAAGGGAAATGTGGCCATTGTTAGCTTTTAGCATTTTTAAGGGTAGCTGTGTTTGCATGACAGATGTGTATTGTCTAGTTTGGCCAAGCTTAATGTGCTTTGCATGATGCTTGACTTATCAGCATCCCAGGGAGTTCCTGTTCCATCCTACTCCTTGGCAATTTCACTATGAAGTGCAATTAAGCTTCCTCAATCCTATTTTATTACAGATACTAGGCCTGTTGCCATCGGTAAGCCATCAGCAAGCCCCCTTTCCCCCTATGTGAACAGATAACTCACAATGCAGGAGCAAACTAATCCTCTTTGGAGCGATAAGGAGGGAGACTGCAGCAAAAAGCAGTTTGAGGGAAAGAACTGACAGCACAGACTTGCAGAAAATAATAACAGGCTGCACGGGTTAGAAGATCTCTCAAAGGGGATGCAATTAGAGTACTTCAATTTTCTGCCTACATGATAATGGTTGCAGAGTGCTATGAAGCTAGAGGAGTTGAAACTCAGTGTTTTGCTTGGAAAAAACCACACAGATATGAGGAGACTGATTCTAATGGACTGTTAAATACAGAAGCTAATTCTTTTTGAAATGAGATCTTAATTCATTACAGGTTCAGCTTCTCCACTGCATTAAACAAACAGCCACAGGAGGTGAGAGTGAAATTGTAGACGGATTTTATGCAGCTAACAAGTTGAAGCACCAAAATCCTCAAGCTTATCAGATCCTGACCTCTACTGCTGTAGACTACACGGACGTTGGGGTTGACTACTGTGATTTTGCTGTGCAGGGAAAACAAAGGATTATAGAGTAAGTGGCCTCCATTCTCACACAATTACTTTGGAAACTAAAGTTGTTGATGTATGTATGGAGGAACGTGTTGGCAGGTCTGCTCCTGCCACCTCGTGGGGAAATGGTGGCTTCACTGGGCTGGGGTTACATTTGTGGTTTTATTTTTTTGGCCAGCATGCTATTTTTCTTCCCTTTGTCTCACTACAGCATAGTTTTCCTTATTCAGTGTCCCTTACAACACTAGCATGAACTCATGGGCTTTAGGGCAACTTCTAGGCATGGTGCCACAGCAGGTGGGCTTGTTACTGAACTGCAGTCCATGCTGTGTGTCTGCACATCTGTACCACGCCAAAGAGAGGTCCTCATTTGAAGCATTCAGACTAAGAAACTACACACTATAAAAAGATCAAATTCAACTTTTCCTGAATTTTAAAACTTTGGCTCTGTGATTAATGTGTACCAAATACTGATTTTTGTGGAGACTGGTTGCATTTTTTTCTGATGACCCCTTTCCCTCGTTAGGATTGATTATCAACTTCCTACCCAATAATCATCTTGAATGAAGGAAATGAACTTGTCCTTTGACATAGAATTGAATTTAGTTGTAGAACAACACTGAAACTTCAACAGGAGAGTTCAATCATCCATCAGACACGTCAAAAGGTTTCTGTTCCTTTCCTCATCTGTTTTGCAGTGTGGATTACAGAGGCCAACCAGTTCGCATCAATTTCAATAATGCAACAAGAGACACAGTGTTTGACATACCAGCTGAAGAAGTGAGGCCATTTTATGCAGCTCTAAAGGAATTCAATGACTTATTAAACAGCACAGAACACAAGTTTACTTTCAAGCTGAAACCAGGTCAGTAAGTTGTTTCTCTTTGCAGTGATTTTTCACATTTTTCCTAACACGTCAAAACATTCTAGCACTGTTAGCTCTACCCTGGCACAGAGAGGAAATTTCAGCCCTTCTGTCACCTGCTTCATTTCACTGCTGTATCCTTACATAGTTTCTTCTGCTGTTGCTTCACTATGAAAAAAAACCCAAACCATAAACCACAGTTAGTGATGGGCAATGTGGTCTATCTTCTTGTGACAGTGACAACTCGTGCCATGTAGGAAGCATGTCGCAACAGTAGCACCTGACACTTGCACAGCTGTTGGGCCATCCCAATTCACCACATCCTCATCCCTCTGCTCCATTTGATGCACAGTGCTCCATGCTGTTAGAGGGGCACCTTTATAACTGCTGCAGAACAGCTCAGAAATCACAGATGCACAATGCTAAGGGAGACCGACCGCACAGCAGGGAATTCAGCTGTCTTCTGTGCGCAGACACTGAATGCCTGAGTACAGAGCTATGTTCTGAACATACAACTGCACAAACGTTCTTTAAAAGTCAGCAGGTTTTATACTAGCTTGGCCTGAATCTCAGATCCTTTATTCTCCAGCTATAAAATAAAGATATGTACAGTCTCTCACAAGGTGTCACAGAAGTAAACTGGTTAGTGTACCTGACTGCCTTGCACACTGTGATGCTACTTGCTTTAAAATATCTGTGAGGAAACTAATCATTACCTATTCTTAACACACAAGAAAATAATGTATAAGATCACATAATAAATGGTAAAACAAAGTACTTCAAAGTACCATCAATTAATGCTCTAAAATGGTGGTAGAGGGAAGGGAGAGGAGGAAAGAAAAAGTATGAGGTTAGTTAATTAGAGATTTTTAATTAGAGATTTTATCATAATGGTAGCACACAAGGGAGAAAAATTGAACTGGCAAGCTGGCCTTAGTTATGCCAGTTCCTCACTTCCTCTCTTTTAACAGGGATAGTAATGCAGGATGCATATAAGTACTTCCAGACTGATCAAAAGAAAATCACCTTATGCCTTTCATCCCTTCTGCCCTTCCCATGGATTTGCAGTTGTGCTTCTGTTCAGGAGGTGCTTTTCTTTGGAGTGTGGATCCCCTAACACTTAACTTAATTGTGCCTCTGAGCTGTGGCAAGCCTACATACCCCTGGGGCTACATAATGCACTGGGCTAAGCCCCAGCTGCAGGCTTTCTGTTGATCTCTGTACCTAGCATCACCTCAGAACAACTTTTTCCAAACAATAACCACATGGATAAATGAGGTGGAAAGTTAGTATAAAAGGTACGTGTTGTACATTACTCTGGTCTATCGTTCTTGCACAGTTCTGGCAGATTCTATTTGTCCACGCATCCCAGCGTCTGGGAAGAAAAATGTGAATTCTTTTATTGGCAGAAGTTCTTTTCTAAACAAGGCCTTCTTATAAGGAAACTTGTCTAATCGTGTTGTCTAAGATATCCCAGCTGGTTTCTTTTCTACTGGCCAATCTCGTGGGCAGGCAGGAGAAAAGCAGTAGAGTTGGAGAGGGACCTGCCCCTTCTTTGAAATGATCGCTCCTAGCTGTTGATCGAGGTGTCCCTCAATGTTGTCTGCTTGAAGGAATATAACTTACCAGATGTCAGAGGCTGTGCAATCTCTTTGCAGGAGACATAATAACGTTTGATAACTGGCGAGTGCTGCACGGCCGCAGGAGCTACCACTCAGGCTCTGAAGTGACACGTCACCTCGAGGGCGCCTACGCAGACTGGGATGTGGTCATGTCGAGGCTCCGGCTCCTCCGAAAGAGGGTCCTCAATAGGGACTGAGTTTCCTGCTGACTAGAGCAAGCAAAACTAGATTGCCTAGCATCAAAAAAAAAGAAAAAAACCCAGTGTACTTTAATTGAGAAACTAACGAGGTGAATATCTGAATCTGTTACTGATTTCCATTAGCTGCTAAGAAAGCTGTCACTCAGCACAACATAGGGTCTGTATCTGGTCAGGTAATTTAAGAGTGAATCACTACCTCACTGAGTTTAAAGCCATTTTTTCACACAGTTTAAAAAGCAAATAAAGGTTGTCAGCTTGTGGCTGCCTTAAGTCCCCTCCACTAATACACCTGCCTCCCTAGAAAGCTCAAAGGGATGTCAAAAAAGAGTTCAGAAGCATTGCTTATTAAAGGTTTGTCATGAACTACCAACCACTATTTTCAAAAAAAAGTGTCCTTCATTGTACAAATCATAACTGAATTCATTACTAAAATAAACAACCTCTGCTTCGGAGTTATTTGTCTACAGTGACCCTTCTAAACGGAACCACGCTTCAATACAAGTCATTCAACAAGTGCTGTAATCTGTATATTTGTCGTGCATGTGACAGTCACAGCCACAAGGAACTTTTATTACAGAGCTCTCAGAGAATGCATTGAATTATTTTTCAACTGCACTAGGAACAGAAAAATCTCTGTGTAGAGGTCAGAAGCAGGGCCAGCATCACATCAGATGCTGTGCGTACATAAAATCAAAATCTTCAGGGCTGATATAGTGAAGTCAGGAAGAGGAATGCTACTTCCACTGCACAGCTTGGAATTAGAACACTTGGGAGGCAGCTGCTGACTCAGCACCTAACAGACAAGCTGCAGCTGTACTCAGGTCCAGTTTTGTTACACCAAACCCAACCTTTGGCAGAGGTGGTCTGCAGGATCATAGAATGGCTTGGGTTGGAAGGGATCATTAAGTTTTGATGCCTCTGCCACAAGCAGGGCTGCCGGTCAGTAGATGAAGCGCTAGATGATCAGACTGCCCAGCGTCCATCTATCTGGGCCTTAAACCCCTCCAGGGATGGGTATTTCCCTTTCAGTATCATTCCAACTAGAGATCACACCGTGCAAAAATCACTGCCATTGGAGCAGTACGTAGCAGGTGAGCTACAGCTCTGCACCACTGCATTTCCTGCCATGTTCAGATGCCAAAATGAAAGGGAAACGTTTAAAATATGTATTCCCTTACCTATCTGTGTCCATATCCGACAATACATCCACTGAGTTGATTCTTTACTGTCCTTCCCACTGCAGTTAACAGGATGCAGAGAGTCAGACATAATCAATACCCTCCACTACTAGATGTGCTCCATTCAGCCACTGGGTGTTTGGAGCCAGTCCCAAATAAACAGTAAATAGTGAAATGCTTTTGTCAGGTTTTGAAGGGGCAGTAACATGATGCATAGCAAAATGAGCTTTTAGCAGTTATTTGATTTCCCAGTGTGTCCTTTAATAGTTAACTGTAGAAAGAAGATGAAAGTATTTGTTGTCCTTGCTATGAGAAGGGGGGAAGGTTTACACCTATATTCTATGAAATACCAGCAGTGCTGTGCTCTGTGATATTTTGCTTAGAACAATTTAGTGAGAATTTCAATTCATAGCTTTTTAGCAAGACATCTTGGGATTAATAAAGATGATTTTCTGCTAAAGATTTTCTGCTTTTATTGTGTACTTTTCTAAAACCCGTTTTATTCAAATGTCTGATTATTAGAAGCTATTAAGGAACTGATTATTGTTTTGGGCTGATGTGTAATCTCACCACAACATCTTGCACACAGATACTAAATCATTATTTACAACTGTTTGTGAACACAATTAGATCCGGATCATTCAAGCTCCTCCCTGACATTTAAAATATATGTAAACCCATAAGTTTGAACAGCTGTAAAATAAAAGAATCAAGTCTCTGTGGATCTGACTTTGCACTACTGGGATATTTGTCAGTGAGGTACGTCCTGCTACAATCTCACACAACAGCTCCCTGATGTTCATAATTTATTCCTGAGATATGTTGTCCTTTATACATCTCGTTGACCTGGGAAGGGGTCCAACCACCCACTCAAAGTGAATCAAAACTCAAGGGTTTAACTGCAAACCTTCTACTCACCACCTTCAGCTGCTACATCACAACTTTTAACCAAAATCCATGTGCTACAGTCATATTGGTTGGGAAAAGAGAGTGTTTTTATAATTATCTGCCTAGTAGATCTCTGAATGACTGCACTGGTACCTGGTCTGCTAAGCTGTTCTCATAAAAACACCACTCACTTTGCAGCTGGTTCTCCCATGCTGTAAAACACGCTCAGTTTCTCAAGCATTTGTTCCAGCCCACAGCGTACAGCACATACTGCTGCTTCACATTCCCATGAATTCACAGCAAATTCAGTGCAGGGTTTCATCATGTGCAGTACCTTGGAAAATGCATATTTAATCCAAACTGTGTTTCTCTCTGACACAAATCAGAGAAAGCCATTAGTGATCTTGTCTCAAGTTCTTCCTAAGGCAAGTGAGTTTTTATTCTACACTACACGTTCTCAAAGCTGTCAGCTTTGAACAAGTCCATATTTGAAAGTTTCATGCTGTAAACTTAAAATTGCTTTTAGTAGAAGCTGAATCAATAAATATCTTTTCTACATACATTTTAAGGTTACTGAAGATCCCCCCCCTCCCACCTTGTTATGTACTTCAAGTGCTCTCAAAAGCAGATGGGAAAGACCAAGATGCCAAAGGAGTCTCCCCTTTTCAATGCCACTCCGCCAAAAGTAAAATAAATGGCAACTGCTCATAAGAAACCCTGTTTCTACATAACGTTTGTTAAACTCTAGAAAAGGAAATAGTTGATGCCAGAGGACCAGCCACAAGGCCTCTCTTCCTGCGGCTCCCTTATAGGAACCCTGGAAGGAAACACAGGCAGTTTTGGGAACTGCATTTGCAGCTTCTCATTGACTCACATTGCTCACTCCACACCATCTCTGTGTCCAGCACCATGCAACCCACCCGATTCTTTAACTGCATTTTTTTGATAATATGCTTTACATACGAATTCTATCCACGTTATTTGCATGGTTATTGACGTAAAGAGCATCATTTGCTTTTTTCATAACAAGTTGCTAAAAGAGCCACATCCTCTCTGCTCCATTTCCAGAGCTAAGGATTTACTGGTTTTTCTTTTTTTGCATTTCTGATTTCTTATTTTTGAAGCAGAGAGGTAGCCCCAAATATCCCCACATCCGCTGCAGCTACACCTCCTGTAGGAAGAGCTTCTTTCCCACTTTGTAGGATTTAGGCAGCCTAGCAGATTTTCACCTAATAGAATTTCTTTCACTGGCCTCAGCATTTGCAGCTTCATAGCAGCCATGATATAAATGTATGCTGAAGCACAAAGCCACCTTCTTTGTACAGAAGCTACGTGGAGGTCAAAAACTGATGTACAAGTTTACTCCTATGGTTGAGCTGGAGCCAAGGGTATCAGAAACTATTTGGGAATTCAGACAACAGTTGTGGAACTGTAATGAGATCAAGATCTGGCAAGAGATCCACTAAAGCCTAGTGAGAATGGGTACCACTGGTGAAAACAGTCTTATCCTGGCTAGAGGGAGACAGGTGGGCTGCTTCCTTTCTTGGTTGCAACCCACAACCTAACTCAAATTAAGCTAAGTTCATTTCTCCTAATTCTCTCTTTTGAGCTACCCGGTCTAGAGGGAGGTCTCCCTGCCTATAGTAGGCGGTTGGAAATAAATGATCCTAAAGTTCTTTTCCAACCCAAACCATTCTATGTTTCTACGATTCTAATGGAAGATCTATCTTCCTTAAATTCTCCTGAGACTGAAGGCCATGTTCCATGCCCTGCCTCATTCTCTCCCTTCTAGAAGCACACCACTGACCCCACCGCTGCAGCCTTTGGTCTATTCAGCATCCCTGCTGTCGTGTACAGGATGGGCAGCACCCAGCTGCAAAGCACAACAGCCAAGGGGAAGATGAGATTCAGAGGAGTTTCATCTCTATCAGGTAAATAAAGTGAACCAACACAACAGGAAAAACATACCGCCTTTTTGCTGACAGCCCAGCCAGATGTCTGCTGACCGCAGCACTGTCCTGGGTGCAGTGGCTCAGGAGTCCTGCTCCACAATGCCTTCTGCATTTTACAGCCACATCTGCTCTGGAAAAGCACTTGAAGGATGATTTATCACTGCTGTGTCAACGAACTGAAAAGCTCCCTGGAACTTTTTCACTTCATACTAACATTCCCAGATCAGTGATCTGCCCTGACATTTTCTATTCCTTTTCGTATCATTATTGTTGCGTGATGTGGTCACACAGGAGAATGGAAACTAACAGCAAAGGCCAAAGATCCATTTCATCACAAGTTCTTAAGCAAATCAGCACCAACATCCCTTGCCCCAGGGAAACCCAGCTTAGGACAAACCTGCAGTACCTAATGCAGAGGCCGTGAGTGAGACCATGTAAATGAAAGAAGAGAACCAGTGCTCCTTGAACATCCTCTGCATCGGGCCAATCTCAAAGCCACTGGAGCCAAAACTCCCATTAATTAATGGGAGCAAAGACTCCCATTAATATTATGCACTGTTTGGGTTGGGTGCCAAGATCTCAATAGCCATTATTTCTACTTTTCCCATTTGACACACCTCTCAGTCTGAGTATGGGTAGAAATAGTGTTTCACACTAAGGTAATTCTTAAGCATGAAGCACAGAGGGGTTGGGTCCATGGGTGGTGACACCATGCCCTGAACCTTAATGCAACTTCTGCAGCCATTGATTTCCTGGAGCTCACTAGACCATTCACTTCCTGCTCCAGGCACTCATCTTGATGTTCTTCTGCCCTCAGCCATGCAATACTTCCATAAAGGGCACCCAAAAAAAGATGCTGGTGACCCAGTGCACGCAAACAGTGGCAGATGCGGGGTTTCCAAAATACAGACCCAATCTGAGAAATCTCCTAAGCGCACATTAAGCATTAAGAAAACACCGTCACAAGCTTCTCCAGAGCCCTCTTTTTAAAAGATCTTCTTCAGGAGGCTCAGCCAGGGTTGCAGGCTGGCTAATGGATCTGATCTTCAGCCAGATCTGGAGATGAAACAGCACGTAGGGCAAGTCTGGCTCTGTAACTGACACTCCCTATCAGACCAAATGTCTCATCCGAGTAAATAGACTTACAGCCTCCTTTTTCCCATGGGTTTATTTTTCCAGAGTAAGGTGAAGAATCAGCAATCCCTGAAAGCATGCCTTTCCTTCCCGGTATTTCCATACAGCCTATAAATCTGAAAGGATTTTGAACAAAGGCAGAGCTCCAGTCATCTTTTACACGGCCAAAGGGTGCTGTATTCCGAGCTGTTCAGCAAGCAGCTTTGGCTCTATTTTTAGGCTCTTGTTTAGGAGAGGAGAAAGGATGACCTCAGACATTCTGTTGCCATTCACAACCATCCCTGCTCATAAACACATTCTTCACAGCTTCTCCTGGAGGGGAGAAAGCACTCTCAGAAATGTGAGATGAATATAGGAGGGTCATGAGCTCATGGATTCTCTTCTGTCACAGGGAACATTTCAGAATAATAAAGAAAATAAAAAAAAAGAACTAAGAACGAGAGAGATCTGAAAAAGCAAGGCTTCCTCTCACCACCTGACCTCCCCTGCGTGCTCTTGTATGTGGAAGTTGACCCAAGGACTTGTACAAGGGCTCTAACACTGCAGGAAAGGGCAAGGAAAAGATCATAAAACGCATAACTGCACAAGAGATGGACATCAATGCGTTAAGAATGGACATTCAACTTAGAATGAAAGATCCTGGGCTAACAACTCAGCTTTGTAGCAGCCGCCCTATTAATTCAAAAGCATCAGTGAGCTGAGTGCAGAGGAGGTTGAATATATTCCAGCTGCTTTCTGGGTCAATACAACCTTTGGCATCAGGGTTTACCAGCATGGTCTTGAAGCCAGCAAGATACACAGAGAGGCACTAAACATGGAGGCTGGTGGCCCTGCATGTGGCAGGGGGGTTGGAGATTCATGATCCTTGAGGTCCCTTCCAACCCCGGCCATTCTGTGATTCTGTGATAGGACTCACCTGGACTCCATTAGACTTCACTCACCACCTCTGCAAGGAACACAAGTGTAGCTGCAGCAACTATATGTGCTGTTCAAGCAATGGTTATCTGCCCTTCCAGAGGAAAAGGAAGCACCACATAATGGCCAAAAGGTCCTGCACTGAGTGTAGCAACTACATAAGGCAGCCATTTAAACAAAGCCAAACAGGAACATTTCTCCTTGTCTCCCCTTGGTTCTAATCAGGCTGGAAGGAAGCACAGCAGCTGCAATGTCCATATTCCCCAGGAAAACAGAGCCACCCCAGAGACATCACTGCCTGAACTCTTATGTCACACCTCCACCCAAAAGCAAGAGCAGGGTTATTGGGACCAAATAGGGCAAGAATTCCAGCAGGTCCTCCTGGGAGGCCTCACATCTGCACTTTGAACACATTCATTTGGGCAAATGCACAGAGGTGCCCAGTTCCACTTCTCCTGCTAATCAGTTCTCAGCAGCACACGCTTTGCCTCCCAACACAGCTGTGCCAACACAGGCTCACATTCTCCCCTCAGTCCAGCACCCCATCCTTACACACACACAGCAGTATTGCCTGATGAAGTTTGAGGACATGAGTCTTCAATAGAAAACTCAACAGGAATTACTTTCTGGACATTTGCAGCGTTTGAGTTGTGCAGAACAAACATGCTGTTCCAACTCACGCCTGAAATCTGAGAACACTCAGCTGCAACCTATAAGCGTGACATCAGCCCTGTCAGAGCATCCCAGGAAGATCAGTTTTGCTTACAGCCTCTAAAGTGACAGCCTTCAACGACAGGCAAACACCATTTGGATTGAGGCACAGATTGCCTTTGGGAACCAATGTGAAGAAAGCAGAAAACAAAGTTTATCTTTAAGTGAGAACCACTTATGCTATTGAATCGCTGATGATATAATGTTCATTCACACATGTATTTGTGTGCATGTGCTACATGCGTTCATAGTACTAGCTCTGAAGAAAATAACAGGAAAAAATGATTTTTCAACATTTTTTTTCCCCTTTGATCCAATAGGTAACTACATTTCCAAAAACGAAGTTTAAAGAAGCCTTTCTTTTATTTCCTTGGTGAGCGGAGTGAAGTATTTGAAGTGTCAAATCAGTGATCTGCCAAAATCAGGAAGGAAAGGAGACATCAGCACACAGTGATGTAAACAACACGAACACTGTTAGTCTCTTTCCTACAGATTTATGGAGTGCAATCCCCTTGAACTATGCACGTTTAAATACTAAACTCATATGTGGATGTTACACAGAGGCTGCCAAGGCAGTGTGAGAAATGCTACAACATTTGTACTAAGCAGACATGGCTTACAATAGACCCACATGTCTGGCTCCAGTGCTTGCACCAGTTTCTGATCTCACTCTTTCCTGGGCCATCACCAAACTATGATCAACCTAGGAACTCTTTCTGGAAAAGGAGTATTTCTACAGTCAACATCCAGTGTCATTTAAAGTACAAATTACTTCTCCAACACATACTGGTAGCTACTTTGTACACGTAGCCTGGTGGCTGCTTTCCAAAAAGGCCTCTGTATTTCAGAGCCCAGGCTATCATTCTTTTGTTTTGAAGGAAGTCTCACTATAAGCACTGCAGTTAACCAGGTGATATTATCAAAGACAACTGAAAAGGTTGGTCAAGACCACCCTCTTCCTACAGCAGAACAGTGGAGTACAGAGCCAGAGGAGCACAGCAAAATGGGCAGCTAAAGACAACGCACAGATCAGTATCGAGCCTTTCCAAGTGAGTACTGTCAGAATATTTGTAAGGGTGGCGTTCCACATGGTAGAAAAATAATGCAATGCTTAGTTTTGTTTTTAATGATGCTTACAGTAATATGATGTTTAAGCTCTGGGGCAACTCTGGTCTGAAATCCAATGGGCAGGATTCAGTCCTTCATGCCAGTTCTTTACTTTCAGGCTATTGCCCCATGCTAGAAGCAGATGAAACACCAAGTGAACCCCCAGAAAAGTGACAACATGCAAGAAAACACTAACAAACAATGGGGTTAGGCAGCCACATCCATGTACATAAAGATGGCATGCAGGAGCATGATTCTCTGGAGATATAACGCCTATTTGCATTTAACAACAACAGCAAAAAGTTAACATAGCTGAATGGATTTGCAGGAAAAATCTGTCAAGGAACTTCTTAAAACTCACAAAATTCCTACACAGATATCATCAGTAGTGTTTAGGGAGTGAGATAAATGCTAAAAGCTGAAAAAAACCCCATACAGCTGTACCTATTAGCCCAAGACTACATTGGACAATTCCCAGAAGAGGGTGTCAGTCAGTTTGGGGCACTTGGAAAGCCAGGCATCTCAAAATTTCATTGGACATGCATGGAGCTACATTTATATTCTAGGACTCCTGGCGTAGAAAATAAGGCATCTCACAGGAAAAGGAGAAACAGGCTTCAATCCATGCAGACTGCATGCACAGCAGAAAGCCAAGAGTGTGCACACCTCAAGAGCGCACACCAACAAGTGAGCTTCATTACCCTGCCTCTAAAAGCTATGCATTCTGGGCACTGACCTGACCATGCACAAGGTACAGGCATCCAGAAAGAAAAAACAAGCAGAGCCATTTGGATTAGGGCAAGAGATGGGAGGGAAAGCTCCATGGTGCACCTAGAGCAGGGGTGAGGATACCCACAAACACCACACTGTCAGTGGGCACACAGAATCATAGAATGATTTGGGTTGGAAGGGACCACAAGGATGATGATTGAAGTCCAGTCCCCTGCCACAGGTAGGGCCACCACCCTCCAGATCTGGCAGTAGACCAGGTTGCCCAGGGCCCCTCCAAACTGATCTTGAACACCTTCAGGGACAGAGCATCCACAGCCTCTCTGAGCAGCCTGTTCCAGTACCTTACTGTTCTCTCTGTAAAGAACTACCCCCTGACATCCAAACATTCCCTCCTTAAAACCATTCCCCCTCATCCTATCACTGCCTACCCTTGTGAAAAGTTGATTCCCCTCCTGTTTATAACCCCCTTTTAAATACTAACTCACATCTATGGTGTGAGCTGTGTATGCACCATTTCTGCGAGTTACAGCAAACAAACAAAACCGATCTATTCTCCTATTTAACACCACTGGAGGGCGTTCATTTCCCTTGCACAACTTCCTCAGAGCAGCTGGCCGGCAGCAGAGGAAAATTAAGATGAGTAAGAAATCTTAAGACAAGATGGACAGCAGGTTGTCAGCATCTCGAGGCTGCACACACTGGCAGCTGTGCATCAGTTCGGCTGCACCTCTGCATCCAAAGATTTGGAAAGGCTTCCAGTTTCCAAGGTGAGGGTTTGTGCAATGTACGAGATGGGGCTAGGAGGAACCAGCTGTAAACACACCCAGTGGCATTCACACAGAGCATACAGAGAGGGAAGGTGCTTGCACATCAGTCAGAGATACAGAACTGGCATGTTAGCACCAGATCACTGGCAAATTGTGTTGGCATCAAGTGACAGCCCTCTGCACCAACATTCAACCTCCTGGGAGGGTTTATTACCCCTATGGGCAAGATTTTTTTAGAAGACACTTCTCTGCTTGGCATATTGCCTAGTATATTTTATTTATTCATTTATTCATTTACTAAAGTTAGTGCTTAAATGGGCTTACAAGCTATAACCAGCCGTTCTTTCAACTGCCGAAAAAATTTAGAAAACTGTACTTGGACTTGAGCACAAACCTCCTTTTTCTCCTCGCTGCAGAATAACACATTGAAATGTTGAGGCGAGCCTCTAAAAACAAACAGTTTGTGTTATCTTCAGGTTCTGAGTGCAGGTGAGAAGGCTCAGCTGTGTATGGCATAAACGTGGCATTAGCTCAGCTCCAGTCTCTGTTAGAATCAAGGGGTGCAGCTTGCAAAACACTGGGCTCAACTGGAAGGCACAAAGCACAAGAGCTTGCACAAAGAGAGCTGCGCTTATGCTTCCTCCTACTCGTGCGTCCCATTCCCCACCTGTGAGAAGCCCACAGGTTGACTATGAATTGTACATAAGTTAACCATGTACAACCCTCCTGTCTTTAGGCAACTTCATCATCAGGGAGAGAAGAGCCAGCAGTACAGGCACAGACAAGTTCTGTGCAGGCATTCATTACACACGATACCTGCTTGTCACCACAGCACAAAACTGTACCTGGGAGGTTACTACTGCACAGAATGACTTGTCCTGTAAATTTCAGCAACATATATTACATCTTACCTGGGTGGTAGTAATTATATATTGTAGCTTTCAGGAGACCTCATTGCACTGTACAGCTTCCTGAAGGGAGGCTGTGATGAGGAGGGGTTTGGCCTCTTCTCCCAGGCAACAAACAAGACCCAAGGAAATGGCCACAGGTTGTACCAGAGGAGGTTGAGATTAAACAGAAGGAGAAACTTTTTCTCTAAAAGACATTTAGCACATTTGGTTATGTAGTACCCAGGAAGGAAGGAGTCACCTACCATCATCGCTGAGAAATGGGAAATCTTCAGAAATCAGATACATTTTGCTAGTTTATCAATATTTCACAAGAGTTTGGCGTGATAACAGGGAGACCTGGATGTGTGAATAATAAACACACTTGCTGGTACTGATTAAAAGTGAAATAATTAAGTGACTGACTACCCGTTAATAAGACTTATTTAGGTTTGTATATACATACAGTGGGTACATATGGTGAAAGAAGTTTCTCTAGCAGTTGCCCAGTACATTTTAACCCTACATTCTTGCATTTTGTCTATCCCTAATAAGAGCCTAACAAGTTTATTCCCTCTCCCTGTCTACTAAATGCACTGTATGTAGTACTGCATTTAAATGTTTAAAGTATGCTTCATAGCCCTGGATGCCAACAGTCAATACCAACAATAACCTAACTAACATGAATGCTGCTGTAGACCTTAGAACAGTTAGAAATAACCTTAAAGTGTTTCCTTTGCAAAAGCAGTCCTAGAAGCTGGCATGCTGAATGGAACACAGTGCACTTAGATGAAGGAGCTGGGCCAAACACAAGAATTTGGCTGAGCAACCTGGAACAAAAGATTGAAAATCTTCATCTGAGATGTACTGGTTAATAAGTGATGAACCAATGGTTGCTAAACAGAGAGTTTATGCTGACCTGGAGGAGAACACAGTACCTCAGAGCTGCAGATTTGGCCTGCTACTCCCAAAAGACAATAATACACGTTCACCTCCAAATCAAGGGAACTATCGATTCACAGCCAGATGTAAACTCAGTACTTACATCAAGAGAACACAATCTAACCAACTCAATCCCATGAAATCACTATCCCGAGTTTCCTAGGGTTGTCTGTCCAAGAGCTTACATATACGTTTGGATTCAATTTTGCATAGCGTTAAAAAACCTTTTGCTTAAGAAAAAAAATGAAAGTAATTTCTACAGATCGCACGCAGGAGCTAAATGTTTCTTCTGTTTCAGTTCCCAAATATTTGAAACTCTACAAAAGCCTCATATTTGCTGAGAGGTCAAATAAGCAAAAGGTCAGGAGTTCACCAAACATGAGCAGGACCAGCAGTGCTGACAACTGACACGGTGACAAGTGAGGGACAAACACATCAGATAAGGTACAAGATATTTGGACTCTTACTCCTGTGCATGGAGGAGGCTAAATGCAGCGTGAAGACCGCATGCTATTCATTCCTGACATGGGGCAAGCAGCCTACTGCAAGATGGAAAGCTTACAAAAGCTTATGAAATCAGAAAGCAGCATCTCCCAAACAAGTAAATGTTGGATTTCAATTGCATCCACTTGCAGACAGACACTCATGATTCCAAGCCAGTTTCTGGAGGTCCACTGCCCGAGCACAGTGGGGCAGAACTGATGTGCAGAAATGGAAGATGACCGTATTCACAAACATGAAGGGGAGAGTGAGGATGGGTGGAAAAAAAAGAAAAAAAAAAAGAGGGAAAACAAAACAAAGCAAAAGCAAACCAAAACAAAAACCAGCAAGTAATAATAGTAAAATAAAAACGAGGAGAGAGAAAGCTACAAAGACGCCTCTTTGGAAGAATAGAGATTTGTGAGGTAAATATTTTTTCCAGCTTAACATAACAGCAATGTTTTATATTTTAACACTGTATTCGCTGACACAAAATAAAGGCTGAATTTGCCCACAAAAAAAACAAACAAACAAAACAAAACTCAAAAAAACCCAACACTTTCTACCTAAAGCATAGGACAGAAAATAGCACTGTATTTCCTCACATATATAACTAGCCAGAAAATCATCTCCAACTTCCATCCTAAGAACACAGTGTTAGCATATGCCAAGCAAAACCGATCTTCAGACACATCCCCCTTATTCTCATGCTTAGCTTCTCCTTAGAAAAATTCCTTATGGTGCTTTCAACACTTGCCCCTTGACCATCATCACACACCTTTGGAAAACAAGGTGGTGACAACAGAAAGCGTGTTTTTTAACATCCCTGGTGCTTTCTTCTTTTATCCAGCAAGGCTGCTGTATCTCAGCAGGACTTGCAATCAGTGCTTTCGAAGGTCAGAGGTTAAGGAAGGAAAGGAGAGTCTGATAAACACATTACAAACCATCTCTGGGTTCACACCTCATTGGATCCCTGCAGTGGTTGCACCCTTTTCAGACTGCTATAAGCAAAGCTACAGAGACCTTTGTAGTCTTTAAGCCATTATGAAACCCTATTGAGGAAACATCTTCTGAAGTACTTATTGACTATACTCACTTTGACACTATTTGTACTCAAGATTCAAAGTTCTGCTTTTGCAAACGAGATCACCTGGACATTTGTTTTGTTTTTTTTTTTTTTACCATTAAGTTCTGTCCTACTATTTGGAGGTTGCATTCCAGGGTGCTATACAACCCAGTTTAAAAAAAAAAAAAAAAAAAAAAAGCAGTGCAAAAGGGAGATCATCAATACAGATCATCACAGAGCTTTTAGCCAGGTTTCTCACATTTTCTTACACCCAAAACCGCACTTCAAAGGTGGAAGAAATTTGATACGTGTGTCACACGCGTGCAGTTCTTTGGTGCAGCTGATTATCAGCCACTCTGTAGCACCTGTCCCACAGCTCCTTTCCACCAGCCTTGCTAGGTATACTCTCAGCAATCACAGAATTACATCACCTACAACATTTTGATCTGTGCATGCCCACAGTCTGCAACAGCTCAGAGAAGGGAAACGGGTGTGTAAGGATTTGCTTTTGTAATAAAGGTCATGTAAGCATTCACTGCTTTCTACCCCCACTGCATGATCCCAGGTCAGGCAGATAACCTCCTCACACCTCACAAGGAGCTTCCTTGATTCAATACTGAAGCCAACAAGTACCTAATGCTGACTTTAAACAGACAGGACCTTTCTCCAACAACTCTAACAGGAACAGGCAAGCTCTCCAAGAGTCATTTGCAGGCTGAAAACCAAAACAAGTCAGCAAATTTTCACAGTATACCACAAACCTGATCAATTAAGAAACACATTGAGCAATTACTTAGAACTCCCACCCTCAATGCCAGTAAAGAAACTGAAATTTCTTACCAACGACAGAAGGCTCGGATCTCCCCGGTAGCAGTGCTGAGAGCTGGCTGAAGCCAGGAAGAGGCGGTGCACCAGGGCACCAGTACCAGGTGCCCTTAAGAAATGTGATTACAAACTGCAGCTGTGTGGAACAGACATGTTTAGTTAGAGGCAGGTGGTCCTAGCACATGGGAGAGATGAGACACTAGATTCCTGTGCTTGACTTTATTTTATTTTCAACTGAAGTGTCTTCCAGTGAGATGCTAACTCAAGTCCACTGAGTGGCATGACTCAGAGCAGTGACTCCAGCCGCCCACAGCCACATTGTTCATGTGGTCCCCAGCAGTGGGTACAGACCAAAGGTGCAATACAGCAAACCCTCATCCCATTTAACGTCTCTTGTAATCCTACTGACATCGGCATGTGAGCAAAGCCAGGCAACCACGAGAGCCCAGGATCAAAGCTAGTCATGCCTGAAGCACCCAGCCCATGCTGAGGCAGCAGAGCCATACTTCCCACAGTTACCTGCCTCAACTCTTGGGTTTTCCCTTCTCTTTGTAGCCTGCCTTGCTCTTCAACCCGGATACTGTCCATAAAAGCCAACACATTAATTTTGTGGAGTTTAATTGTTAGCAAAAATCATAAAGGCTGCATCAAATCATCAAAGGATGATTTGTAACATGCCTTGAAAGGCCAGAGGGAAATATGGGACTAACTTTTGGGGCCAAGGTCATTCCTTCGTAAAAAGAGAATGTGGTGAGCAAGAAGAAGAAAGTTTGTCAATACAATGTTCTGCAACTGCTCAGATGCACTGTTTTCTAGCTGAAAAAGTAGCTGCTCAATATCTTCATGTTTGAATATGTGAGAGAAGTTCCGTACAGAATTCAAAATAACTTTCTTGTTGTAGAAACAGTCTAGAAACACATAGGTCATCATCTCTCATTAAGCCTTCCAAGTAAAACCACATGCAGATTTGAGTTTGCGTGCATTTCCTTGAGCCATTCCAAGGCAAAAAAATTAAAAAATAAAAAATTATGGGGTAATGAGAAACTTAAAAACACAAGTCCAGCTGTATAACTCTCAGAAATTATCAACTCAAGCAAACCAACCATGTCAGAGTAACCCTCAAGAGGTGCTTAGTCACACTAATAAAGGAGGTGAAATGGAAAATACAGTAGGGCTGGAAGACACCCAACAAAAACTGAGAAAGCAGCCATATTCTGACAGACTGTGGGTCAAGAAGCAGATGAAGGCACACTACGCTTCACAGAGTCAGACGCTTTTTTGGAATTGCTTACAGTTTGATTCAGGCAAACATCCACAAAAGTCCAGACAGCAGAATCGAAGCAAACTCAAACGTTTGACCTCATCTAGTTTGCATGCCCAGCTGTATAGAGGAAAAAGCATTCAAAAGAAGGATTTAAACAGCAAGTTTTGAGTGAGTGAGATCCTTCATAAATATCATGATATTCAACAAATAAGAGTTTCTCAGGGAAAGCAGAACATGTTGCCCTGAAAATTCAAAACATTTTGAAAATGCTGATTTGAATGAATTCAAATTAAAAAAATGGAAAGAGAGTGGTTTTTTTTAATCTCCATCCTGCATAATATCAAATTTTTAGTGGTAAGTTGAACATTTCATTCATGAGAACTGAGGCTAAAGCAATGAGACCTGGATCTCCAGGACCTCTCTTTTAAGTGCAGCTTTCCAGTGATGCTCCAGGATGAGACTGTGACCTTGGCTTCAAGGCTTGAATCATCTTGTGGAGATTTTGCAGTCACTTTTCCAGTCTTAACATCAAGAGATTTTCATAGAAAGCACTGAAGAGCTTGCTCACAGCCCAGCAGTCCTTCAGTTGGGCTCCAGAGGCCTCACAGGCAGGTTGACGTGGCAGCCCTTTGGAGGTGCTGGCAGATGCCCCTCTCCCTCTCCTGGAGAGGCAGGAGTGGCTGTGTCAAGGCCACACACTGCAGCTGTAATGAAAAACAGACCAAACCCCCAGAATTTGAAAAGACAGGCAAACATTTTTCATGCCAACTTTATCTTAGATCATACCACTGATGTCAGTACTGAGTGCTTCAAGGATGAAGGCAATCACAGCTCTCAGTGGGCTCTGCCTCTACACTGCTGGCAGAGAAGGAGCACATTTTCCAAAATATATTTTGGTGCAAGTTCACTCTTCAGAAAGAAGATCTGTCATGAAGATCAGGAGAGCTTAATGATGCCATCAGTAGTTGGGTGCCTGTGCAGGATCTGACTGTGTTAAAGGTTAGATGAGGCTAGTGCTGAAGGAAGGGCAGGGGGCTGGCATAGGACAGAAGTGCTAAGGGAGTCTGTACAAATGGTGTAGGACAAGCTGGAGCAAGACCAGGAAGTAGGATTCAGAAAGACCTCTGCAGCTACTTTCAAAGCACCACCCCAACAGCCCAAAACAGCCAGTGGGGTTTTCGCTCATAATTGATGGGCAGCAGGCCAGGTTCATAAGCCAACTCATATGTTTAGGGAGACCAGCTGTGGTCAGGTAATTATATCAGTTTGCCCTGCTGCAGTCAAACGCAGCCTGACAATCACAGAAACCAACACACCTACACAGCTTCCCAAGAGCTGCCTGGGCCACTGACACCATGCAGAGGCATAAGAGAAAACCAAGCAGGTAAACAGCAAGCACACATCTCAGGCCTGAGGGAACCCACAGGCAAGGGATGTAGGACTGCTTTGTCCCAAGCCCTGAAAGAGCAACAGAGGCATTACCCACATGCCCCACGAGTGGAGGACAAGACATAGGGTGCCTAAATGCTGTAAGGGTGTCAATAAGTGAATCTCAGAGTTTGAAAGTGTGTGTTTTCCCAGCACATACCACAGGGAATATATGAAAATAAAATCACTAACTGGAAAAAGAGAGCTTAAGAAGCTGGAATAATAGCTGATAAGGAAGTGGGAAGCTGTTGCAAACAAGGAGTGTAGCACGATAGAAGAGGACAGGGAAGAATTTACAGCACAGAGAGGCCTGGAAAGCCTAGAGCAAAAGCAAGCAAACTAGCCCAAAAGAATTGCAAAGAGCCCTGCAAGTGATGATTTGGGAACAAACTGACAGAGGGACTTCAGCGTGGTAGATCTTAGCAAATCATAATTGCTAGCTACGTGGTCTTAAGGCACTCCCCACAGTTCACCTGCCTGGTCAATCCAGAAAGGGAGTGGCAATTAAATTCCTGGCAGCCAGCCCACTAAACAGGCAAAGGGGAGGGGGCATGTGTAGGGCACTAAGCTAGGAAGCAGGAAATGCAAAAGGAAGAAATGTCCCTGAGATAATCCTATGTGACTTCTCAGCCTGGTTCTCAGCCTGGGATGCCTTGAGACCCAGCTGAGAAGATGGGATGCCTTGAGACCCAGACCATCGCAAGCTCAGAACAGCTTTCTACGCTGAAGAGCCTATGGTCTGTACACAATGATTCCTTGTTTGTTTTTTTTCTTTTCTTTTAAAATGTTGCTTTCAGAAAACAGGCTGCTGATTCTCATAATCCTTTAAGTTGTGGAAAACCGAAACTGCAGGCCCTCTGTGGTCTGAAAGGATTCAGTTGTGTGTTCCCTGGAGAGTGCTTCAATGTCCGAGATGCAAGCAGGTACCCTCCTCCCTCTTTGAAATCCTTCCCTCGCAAGGCAGCAGATATCTCCTTCCACCAGTTTCCTTTTCTGCTATAGGAAAGCCCTCTCTGAAGTGCAACCTGGTTTCAGGAGGAGCAAGTCTACTCCTTCCCTGCTCCCTGACTGGAAGGTATACTTCTCAGTAATGTGAATTTAAGCACCTTAGATTAAGAAGTAGCACACTGAGTTCTGGCTTGTTGGATAATGCCCCTAATCCCTCAGCTGTTACACCAGAGGACAGGCATCTTTCACTTGTGGAGTTCTTTGGCTCACACACAAGTGAAATTGCTTGACTTCTTATTCACAACCTGATTTGCTCCTTGCTCTTGATGCAAGAGAACAAGAAAAAAAAAAGGAAATAAAAAGAAAGATTCTTCAGAGAAATGAGTGGAGCAACCACAGAGCAGATGACAAGTACCAATGGGAAGAAAAAAAACAACAGCTGCACTACCCAATAGTGAAGTGCATGCAACAGAAAGGACAGAGGAAGCAGAACAGACAGACTTATGAGGAAGAGTCAGTGCTGTTTACTTTATTCATTTAAAATCTGTTTTGTTCCATTTTTGTGCTAGATCACTGTTTGCCAAACCTCTATTTCCCACAGAGCTGTAATGCTTGTTGGGTCAGAGTATTGTTCTCTGAGATATCTGGGTTATTCTGAGATGTGGAAATGATCCCTTTTGTATTTAAAAAAGAAATACAAATGCTGCTGTTGACTAGCTCACATTCTGACCACCCATTTTTATACCAGGCTTGATACGTTGAATGTTCTCAGCCTGATTGATCCCAAAAAATAACAGTTTAGCATAGAAGGGCTTGTTGGAACAGGCAGAAACATTTCAGGGAAACACAGATTTAGTCAGAGGATTTAAATGTCAACATATAGAAAATTATCTTGTCTGGATGAAGAATAGTTTTACAGGCTGGGATTCTCAAAAATAGTCAACAGGAGGTAGGCACCCCAATCCCATCTCTCAAAGCTTTTTTTTTAAATCCCATCCTGGAATGTGAATCTCAGGCTAGACGAATGGCTCTGATCCAAATATGAATAAATGAGGGCAGCCTCAGTACAGAGTCACAAAAAATAGAGAAAGAAAATACCTCACCAGGTCACCTGGTTTATACCCCTGCCCCAGGCAGAATTATCTATACCTGTATCACTCATGACAGATGTTTGTCTAACATTTTTATAAAGACTCTGAAGACAGAACAACCAGCATCTTATTATCCTGTTAGAAAGCTTTTTCCTATTGTTTAACCTGCACCTTTCTTCCTGTAGAGCAAGATCACAACATTCTGTCACATAACTTTTAGGAAAGGCTACTTCTGTCCCCCTGCATTCAGGATACTGAAGGTAGCTTGATTCTACTTTCTGCACATTTAAGGATTATCCCTGTGTCATCTTATGTCTTCTCTTTTGAAAGCTGAACCACGCCACCTGATTAGCCCTTCTTACCTCTTTGGTCATATTTGAGACCGCTTATTATACTCCATGCTTCTCGTTGGATTCTTTGCAACCAGTCCACATCTTCAACTGCAACACCAGAGGAGTCCAACTGATGGTTTTCCAATGCTGAAAATCAGCAGAAAGGTGACATATACATATTTGATATATCTCAGTGCTTACATCAAGCAAGCTACATTCCTCTTGGTGCATTTTGGTATTCAAGACTGCACTCCATCTTTTTTTCACAACAGCATGACTTATTTTTGACTCATTCAACTCCTAGAATAAAACTTCTCAACTTAGTAAGTTCTCTCCTTCCTTCTATGCTCCTCTTATATCCAGCTGTTCATCTCATTGAGAGACTTCTCTTATAGAATCTCCTAATTCAGATCCTGAGTAGCAAATTCCAATGAACTGATTATTTAAAACAGAGGAAGTAGATTTACCTCCTATGGAGCTTGCTCATTTTTCAGTATGGTGTACTGTGAACAATAAGCAATTATAGAAATGAAGTCCTCTATTTCCCTTTGGCCTGTGCAATTTGTTTAAAAACAAAAACAAAATGAAAACATTAGAGCATAACAGTAATTCTAAATAGACTGCAAAACATCAGCCAGCCTCCATTGTTTGTTATAATCATAATTGGCTTGTAAGATTTCAGAGAAGAGCATGTCAGCTGATGCTAAACACATGTGCTTATTGTTATTAAGTGACAAATCTGATTATCAGCTGTGAGCACAGAAAAACTGATTTTTAGCTGAAGAAACCTTGCAATGAAATTCCCCTGCTAGGTAACCTGCACAGAGATATGTTTTCAGCATATGCTGCATTTAAGGCTGCCATCCACCTTACTGTTAATTGTGCAGTGTAGACAAATCCTTTATTTAGAGTGCTCCATTAACAGAATGGTGCAGAAAGCAGCCCTTCTCAAGGCTGTGAGCACGGGCTGCAGGTTAGTATCAGTACCTTGGCCAAATCAAGGCTGACTAATTTGTTGTAACAACAATTGGCTATTACATATTCAAGAGTTTCAGTTAGCAGAACACGACACCTAAGTTTCTGTATGTATTTCCCAGTGTATACAATTACATATACATTCTACTTGCTAAGTACTAAACAGCTCTGCCAGTACTCTCCAGGGAACACACATACTTGGTATGCACATGACCTGAGGAATGGTAGCAGTGCTGTTAGTTGTCAGGGCAGCCAGCATCCAGGGAAATCAGGCACAAAGGCTTGGAATACTGCTTGCTAGAGATATCTCAGTTCCTAACCTGCACAGACCAGGGGTTGCTATCAGGCTTAAAGAAAAACGCATGCTCCAGTCTGATCTAAACCACCAGGCATCTTTGCTTGCTTACTGCAATGTTCAGTGAAGCCCGACTGGCAGCACATTAAGTTAGAATTTCAGTTCAGGTGTCCGTCCATTGCTCAAAAGTTAAACAGGCTTCTCCTGAGTACTGGAGACATTCCCAAGGCCCTGACCAATGCTATGCGTGTATTGTACTCAGCTCTGTCAACACTCTCCATGCAGGATTAGATAAGATGCAAGAATGTGATTTAGGACCTTGTGCCTACATGAAAGACATACCTATAAAACAACACTGTGTATGAGATGGACCTTAGATCAGCATCTGTGTTCACAAGGACCGTGATGTCCCAAGAGTTGTGTCCCACAGAAATACAAATAGATACTCCTACAAGTTTTTAGAGATATTTGGGCTCCATAGGTGCTCATTATCTTATTTGATATTTATTACAACGGCACCTTGCTAATGACAGGCAGTCACAGGAGCCCGAAAGGCACAGGAAGCCTGCAGCTAATCAGAGAGCTGAACAACAAGCCTGGATTGTTGATGGTAAGGCTGTCAGTACTATTTTCTAAAGCCACCAACATTTATTTCCCAGATGTTTTCACCATGGGTGAAACAGTAGAGAATACACACTTGCCATTGTATTGCACATTTACAGTCTTCTTCCCAATTTTGTCACTGCTCCTGTGAAATATATGCACTGAAAATTTGAGTACTGAGATGGTTTCTCTGGAAATTTAGCTTTCAAGAACAATATTTTCCATGGATCTGTTTTTAATTCAGAAGTGACGTGAAAAGCTCTAAGTATTCAGTGTGTTGCATTGTTTTTGTACCTATTTTTCTTTCCTCCACAGCAGATTTCAGGAATTTGCTGCTGCCTCATTAGGGCGAACAGAGCATCATAGGTGAATATTGTTGGCACGTCTGATCTTGGCACGTTTCAAGATTTCATTCGCCACCAGGAGGTGCAAATGATCTTCTCACCAGCACCACTTTGGTGCTCATAATTACCAGTTTCATTCAAGGTGGAAGCAACCTTCTCTATTCTTTCACTAGTATTTTTTTCCTTATTGCTCTCCCTGCACCCTTCCTACTTGCTGGCACTGACGTCTTTCAAAGCCCTCACTAAGTATGATTTTGTGTCTCTGTGTCAGCTCTGTGCTGCTGATGTTGCAGTCAGAAATATTTGGTAGTTCTTGCACACTGGAAAACTACCCCTACCATATCATGGCAGTCACAACAGATTAGTTCTATGGGGCTTTACTATCATCCTTTAAGCAGTATGGCTGGATCACACAGTCGGTCCTGTTGAGAGTTCACTGCAAGCCACAGAGTGAGAGCCAAGAACATAACAAATGGCTGGGATACACTTCTCAAATGAATGCACAGCCAGAGCTGGTCACAGCCCCAAAGCTAATAGCAGGTAAAAAAGGAAAGAGCCCTGTCCTTCTCACCTCATGTAGATATGAAGGTGTTATGGACAGGTGGAGTTTCCTACTGCATGTACGTTCAAACCCAAATATAAATTTAGCCCCTATGAGAACTGGCATCTGAGCTGAGCCCAAAGCTAAGAGGAGGAATTTCTTCCACGCAGGAGCAGCCAAGTACGTAAGATATAATCACAGGGTGATGGCAGGCTCTCAAGATTAGGAGGTCTCACTGGACCTCTGGTAAAGATAGCAGAATTTTTAGCAGATTTAGCTAGCTTCCACACTTCTAACTGTGAGATCTTACAGCAGCAGCTCAGAGCTGAATCGAGGAAGCTCCTTAACACTAACTTCTTTCCAAGGAATTTTCTCTTAACCCCTTACACACAAACATACACTCACATATAATCAATGGGCAGCATAATAATGCTACAGTATGACTGCAGTACCAAGTCTGCAAGACAATCAGCACTGCTAAATCAGCCAGTTCCAGTGCTAATCCATGCCTCAGCCCACCTGAGCAGCCTGGCCTCTAAACTCCTCTGCTGTTTCTGCCTGCGTAAGTAGGCAGGGTTACCTACATACCCCTCTGCTTTAGGAGGAAAGTAACAGAGAATTAGAAGTAGGCCATGCTTCACTGCGCCCCCACGAAGCAAACAGCACCATACCATGATTTCCCCTGCAGAGCTGCTGGGCTTATGCTCCTTAGGAGAGAAGAGGCCCCAGGAGGAGGTCCAAAATCTCAGGGTCTCACAGACCACAAGCTGCAGCCTCCAGGATGATGTCCTGGCTTCCTCACAAGATCAGTGTGCTCTGTTAACGAGAGGAGAGAGGAAAAAAGATTAGACAAGTCAGCAGTTCATAGGCATTTCCATAGAGAACATGGTAATGATTAGCTTGCACCAAAAGAACTGCAGAACTTTTTTTTTTTTTAACTCGTGTTTATTTTAATATTCTTAAAGTCAGGTGCATGTTTTCTCTGCAGCTTAGGAACTGGCCAAGTGAGGCAGCATTTGAAATTTCTTTCTTTGTCTCAGAAATTAAAAAAAAAAAAAAAAAGAAAAGAAAAAAGAAAAATTCCGGAAAAAGGGTCTCAGTCTGAATGTGCAGGTAACTTTCTTAGGGTTAAAATAACACTGTTAAAGGGATATTTCCAGGGCAATTCCATAATTCACTAGTGGCTGTGCACTGACCCAGGTCAGTCTCTACAAACAACAACATATATAGTCCTGTAGTTAGAATCATAGAATCATAGCATCATCCAATTTCCCTGCAATGAACAGGGACACCACAGCTAGATCAGGCTGCCAGGGCCTTATCCAGCCCCACCTCCAGGGACAGGGCATCAAGCACAACAGTGTTAGCAATCTGGACTTCATTTCTGAGCCTGGCGTATGATCCACATCAATACTGAAGAGTGAGAAGAAAAAGAGGATTGAGATGCTCCAACAGTGCAGGGCACATGCAGCCTGGAGACATGGCAGTGAAGAGGATGCAGAGGGTTTGTCTGCTCTGCATACACCAATTGCCAGTGCCAAGGATAAACTAGAAAATGGCAAACTGACAAAAAGCTTAATTTCCTCTTCACTGACAAGCAGATAGGCTGACACAAAAACATGCCTCTCATTAGCTCCATAGTTATTTTAACAGGAAATCTTGAGTTATCAAAGATTATGACAGCATTATTGAGTATAAAGTAGTCTAAATTCACTTATTTGCACCCTCCAGCAGACTCTAAGTACAAAATTGCAGGGTACTTATTTTTCCTAAATAGGGCCTCTAATTGAAAAAAATGATTATTTTCTAGTGCTGAGATTACTGTCTAGGGCTCAACTAGGAAGGAATTAAATAGGATCTGAAAAATAGTTAATTAGAAAGGCACGCTGCAGTTAGCAGTTCTGGTTCCTTTTTGCCCAAGTTTTACAGCAATACTGAAAATCAGGAACATCAAGAACTGCTGAGAAATTATTTCTGGAATAACTTTCATTATCCAGTGAGCCATATTATGAGATCTCTCAAGTCAAGGGGATTTTTCCTGGTGACTCTAAGGGTAAATCACATGAGCACAGTGGGGTAATAAATTAATGTACTCTACATGAGCTGCAAAAACACAGTGACAACACATAAACACCATTAAGTGGCATAGAAATCATTTAAAAGGAGATCCCTTTGCTCCTTCCTTGGATAAGAGGACGGTGAGAGCTCTTGAGTCAAAAGGCACAGAAGCAATTTAGCAACAGACAAAGGTGACCAAAACACACACCGCTGGATGACCTCCAGCAAGACCAGCCACAGTAATGTGCTTCACTAAAACATAGGTGGCACATTTCTACCAGGCTTCTGTCTAAGAATGGATAGCTTAAGAGTACTCAGCCTTCCGTGTCAGTTTAACAGTGTCTCAACAGTGAGCTGAATGTCTTTGACCAGAATTTTCCAGATCTGTATTTGAGTTAATCATAGAGCATAATCTCTAGCAATAATTTTGATGGGTAGTTAGGATTAACTCAGCACTAACGTGTGTTAATTTTTATTGGCAGAATGAAACAGCTTTCTGATGCAGGGATAGATTTACTCGTTTACCCAACTACATGTAGAGTGCCAAGGATTTTCTCTAAGCATCCAAAAAAGAAACATGCACACATAAAGTGAGTCCAGGCTAAGTCTCACCTCAGCCTAGAAGAAACGAAACCGAGAAGTGCCTGCTTGGCCATTTTTGCCCGCACTCTAATCCTAAGGCAGGCCTACAGCAATTGGACAGATCGATACGATGGGAAACGGTGTTTCACCAGAGGTGTGATGACAAAGGATTGGCATGATATAAAGGAAGGGAAGAAGCTCATAGCAGAAGACTCCAGGTTTGCAGGGGAGGGATCTCCAGAAAGAGCTCCTTCCCCAGGGGCAGTCAGCCCTTACATGGGGTCTAAGAGAAGCACAGCCAGGCTCCACCCCTTCTGGTCACACAGCTGAACTGCCTTCACCTGTGCTCCCAGGGCTGATCAGGTCCTATCCCCAGGTGCTCAATCAGTGGTTCAGGCCGTGACTCAACAGTTTCCATACACAGGCATTCGTCTGTAGCTGAACCAAGAAAGCACACTTACCCCAAAGGCAATATGCAACCCTTATAGCATTTAAAATACTGGTTTACTTGCAGGGAAACTCTTTTCCAGCTCAGAAACCAAATAAAACATTGGGAACTTGACACCCATGTAGTCTGGAAGAAGACAGCAGGAACTCAACAGAAGGTATAACTTGAATCAGTTGTAACTTTGCAGAGAACATCAGAAAAATATTTTTTAAAAATATTGTGCTGGAAAAAAACCGCAAATGATTAAAGAAGTTGGTGACCACAATGATGGGTACATTTTGAAAACCAGAGCAGAATACAGTTCTTGGTTCTTTTAATAACAAACAGCATGTTTCTAATCGCTAGCGTCAGAGTCAAGCTAAACATTTCAAACCACAGCACCGAAGACAATAAAACTTCACAATCTGATGTGTCCTACTCAGCAGACTGTAATGCTGCTTTATGCCCACCTCATCTGTTGTCATATCAACATTCTTTCTTGTTGCCAGCTTCTGCTTGAAACACTACTTCTTAAGATCACTCAGTAATTCAGATTTAGGTAATCATTCAGTTCTCTTAAGAGACTTTGCATAAGAAATCAAGCAGAAGAGGCAGGAAATCAGCATAGCTGAGCAAGGACCTGCTGGTCAAACTGAGGGAAAAGAAGAAAATGCAGAGGCAGTGAAAGCAGAGACATGTGGCCTGAGAAGAACCACATGTTCTTCAGGAATGCTGTCTGGATGTGCAGAGATGGGATTAGGAAAGCCAAGACACAGATGGAACTGAACTTAACAAGGGATGTGAAATGGAACAAGAATGGGTTCTACAGGTACACTGGTCAGAAGAGACAGGCAAAGGAGAGTGCACCCCCTCTGATAAATGAAAAAGGAGAACTGGTTATAATTGACATGGAGACGGCTGAGATACGCAACAAATTCTTTGCCTCAGTGTTGACTGCCCATCAGACTTCTCACACCTCTCACATCCCTGAACCTCTAGGTGGGGGCCAGGGGAGCAAAATGCCTCTCTCTCTGAGAGCAGAGCAAGTCAGAGACCACCTCATGAGACTAAATATGTACAAGTCTATGGGGCCAGACAACATGCATCCAAGGCTCTGAAGGAGCTGGCTGACACGCTTGTCGAGCCACTCTCCATCTCATTTGAAAAGACATGAGGCAGCAGTGTGCTCTTGCAGCTCAGAAGGCCAACAGCATTCTGGGTAGCACAACAGAGGGGTGGCAACAGGGTGAGGGAGCAGGCTGTCCCCCACTACTGAGCCTTTGTAAGTCCCCATCTGGAGTACTGCATCCAGGTCTGAGGCTCCCAACACAGGAAAGAATTGCAGCTGTTAGAGTTAGTCCAGAGGAGAACCATGAGGATGATCAGAGGGCTGGAGCAGCTCTCATAAAGGAAGGCTGAGGGAGCTGAGCTTGTTTATCTTGGAGAAGAAGAGACGCCAGGGAGACCGGAATGACTTTATACTAAAAGATGGGAGGAAGAGTTAGGCGAAATGTTAGGTGAAAATTCTCTACTCAGAGGGTGAGGCACTGGCAGAGGCTGCCCAGAGAAGATGTGGATGCCATCCTTGGAGGCATTCAAGTCCAGGTTGTGTTGGGCCCTGGTCAACCTGCTCTAGTGGTTGGCAATTCTGTCCATGACAGGGATGCTGTGGTAGATAATCAAAGAATCGTTTGAGTTGGAAGGGACCATTAAAGGTAATCTAGCCCAACTCTCCTGCAATGAACAAGGGCACCTACAGCTAGATTACAGTGCCCAGATCCCTGTCCAGCCTGACTTGAATGTCTCCAAGGACATTCAAGCCATCCTCCATAACCCAGGCAACCTGTTCCATTGTTTCATCACCTCTATTGTAAAAAACCTTTTCCAAATCCAATCCAAAACTCCTCTCTTTTAGTATAAAACCATTTCCCCTGACCAATCAGAACAGGCCCTGCTAAAGAGCCTGTCCCCTTCTTCCTTATAGCCTCCCATAGATGATCTTTGAAGTTCCTTGCAACCTAAGCCATCATGTGATTCTATGATTTGTTCCCTTTAGAGAACTTAGTCAAATAACTCGTTATTCTAGAGTGCTTAATACCAACAACTCCCACAGAAACATCGCTGGGGAAATTGCTTTTAAAACCTATACCTAACTGGCTTTCTTTCAGAAGAAGCAGTTCAGTGATTTCATGGCATTCCCTGTCCCCTTCTCTTTTTGTCAATATAAAGCTGGAGGGCAGCATGATGAATACTACTGGCTAGCTGTACCATGCCTGCCTGTTCTTCTTGTCAAGAAAAAGAGTAGAAGGGCTATTAATCTCTGGAGAACACAAAATAAAAGTTGCTGCTATCTGACAGGCTAGCAGCCTGTCTGCCTGCAAAAGCTGCTAATTCATATAATGCTTGCATGATGAAGTATTAGCAACTTTTGGTTTTACTGTATAGTTATAGATAATGCCATGTGTCGAACGAACGCACAGAAGACTCTGATAGATGGCTGGCAAACATTCATCTTGTTGGCACTTATTAGTAAAGGCCATAAATACAGCAGTGAGTGAAAATGAGTCAGAATGAAAATATATTAGAGCTTGCCATAATTTCAGTGCTCAACTCAATGATTTTCCACTTACACCAGGGAGGAGACTCAGCAGATGAGGCTTCTGGAGGTCAGTCAGAAAGGATTCCTGGCTCTTCCCCAAGCTCCCTGTGTGATCTTGTCTAAGCTATTTTTTTCTTCCATACCTCAAGCCTCTGTCTAGCTCTAAAACGCACTGTAAGTCTCTCTTGGAAAAAACAGAAGGACAGCACTTAGGTCAGATTAACCGACTACACAGATTCACAATAGAGAGCAATGAGCTAGGGTTAGACCTGTTATCAAGATAAGAGACCTTCTTTTTCATAACAGGTCTTGGAAGTTGTAAGGGACCACCAGCTGAGCACGAATCAGACACATAATCTGAAAAATATGAACACCTCACTAGGATGCAAGCTGGAGCAGAACATGCAAGTGTGCAGGAGTCCTTCATCTGCCAGCAATGCCTCAGCTGAAGAACTGGCTTCTCACTTTGGGTACATTTCAGGGAAGCTGAAGCACCAGAAAGACTCCTGAGTAAGGCAAGAGAGGGAGACCAGAGGCCCAGAACAGCCACCCTACATGAAAGGCCTGAATTAATTGCTGTCACGTAGCCAAAAAGAAAAAGCAGGCTGAGGAAGGGAGGAGTAAAATAACAGAGTTCAAGGCTATTGCAAGATGAAGCAAATAATCTTTCAAATATCTTTGGTGGTTAGGAAAAGAAATAAAAAGTTTAAATTGCAATAACAGAAATTTATGTTCAAACATTACGGGAAAAAATTCTCTAACAGGAAGGGTGGTAAAGCACCAGAATAAATTGCCCTTGGAAGCTGTGAAGCATCCACCTTTGGAGACCTTTAAGAACAACTGATGCAAACATCTCTCAGAAATAACACTGGGTTAGTTAATCTTGCCTTGGGGCAGCACGATAAACCCTGATCTTTCAAAATCCATTCAGCCTGCGATTCTGTGATAGTATCTGTGCAGACGTCATGTGTTTGTACAGCACCTAGCCCTCTTCTTTATTCTCGAAAGACAAACAATAATTACTAATTAGTTTTATAATAATTATATTTCAAAACATACAAGTTTTATGCAACTTATATATTACTCGAACTCCAACTTCATTTTCAACAGAAAAAGTTTCACTAGTTTCCCTGTTGAGACAGAGCATCTGTTAGGAACAATTGTTCATTTTTCAGTGTCGAATTTGCAAAATCAATTCACACAGCTTTGATCAGTAGTGGGAAGAAAGATCACTACTTCTTTGCCAATAAAGTCTTTTTCATTTTCACATACTCTTCTATGCTGGAAACAGGAAAATAAATACGTAAAACTTCCTAAATTATCTATTCTGCTTCTTAAAAATTGAACTAAATTGAATTAAAAATAGCAAGGTCCACAACTTCATCATCAAATACCTTTTTGCCTTACCTCAATCAATCTGAAAATGAAAGCACCATAATTCCAAATTAAATTGGCTCTTGATTCACGTGAGATTTATCATTAAAATGAAAACTACTTTATTCTTAATGTGTGCATTTCAATGACAGTTTAGGCTTTTATACTCTCATACTATTATCTCTGTTCAAGTCCTAAAGTTGTGTTCCCTCTCTTGGCAGCCTTATTTCATGTGCATGTAGAGGCAAACCCCTTGACTGGAACAAAAATGTTGCAATAAAACAGAAGAGCAGTCACATTGCTAACAGGAAAATTCAGTGGCCATGTTATTTTCCCCCTCACAGGTATTACTGGTTGTTTCTATTTAGTTCAATGCTTCATTATTAAACTGACACCAAAATCCCAGTAGGCAGTAATAAATTTAACCACTGTTTCATTTGTTGAAGTCTCAGATACACCCTTATGCCTGGCAGCAAAGGATGTGATTCACTTCAGTTCTTGTCTTTTTAGGATTCTGTACTGCATCTAGACGTCTGCCCAGTGAAAAATAAACGACCAGAGCCCATCTGTGCTTCAGTGTAAATCTGACTGGGGAGTTGAATCCCATCAGACTTCCAAATTGGAAGTAGACTTACCAAGTAATGCAGTTTGACACAGTGATCCACCATCAGCTTGTAAGGGGGCCTGGAAAAAGAACAATATGCAGATAGCGTGCCAGTTATACACTGACTTCCCAGGTATTGTGCTGGTCCACACATATTTTGCTATATTCCCATGTTATACAAGAAATGTTACAAATTCTCTCTCTCTCTCTTTTTTTTTTTTTTATGACTATTAAGAAAAAAAATAGTATTTTCCCTACCCTAAGGCTGCAGAAGGTCCCTAGAAAGCAGCTCCTGATGTCATATTAAATATAGAATGGAATAGCTTAGTTGCAAGGGCCCTACAAAAATCTCTCCACACGGCCACTTCAGGGCTAACCAAAAGTTACAGCATGTTATTGAGGGCGTTACCTGAATGCCTCTTGAACTCTGACAGGTACAGGGCACCAACCACCTTGCAAGGAAGCCTGTTTCCAGTGTCTGACCACCCTCACAGTACAGAAATGTTTTCTAATACCCAGCCTGACCCAGCTTGTCCATTAAGCCAGTAAGAATCTATTGACGAACAGTATTAAAACCAAAGTCATTAAAGCTTTTTATCCATTAAAATTCAGAAGGTGAATCACAATTACATGCAATTTTAGTTAATACTGAAGAACAAGGGAAGGAGAAGTTAGAGAGCACTTAGGTAGGTTAAATACGTTCAAGTCAGGCTAACATATACAAAAACCTGAGGAAGACTGGTGAAAGCCCCCCAGCAATTGCTTATCCAATGAAAACTGTGGAGGACTAATAGCATGCCAGAAGACTGCAGAAGGGAGAAAATGGTGATCATACATACAGAGGAGCAGAAATAGAACAGCTGAGAATTTTCAGGCTTGACAGCATATTTCAATCATTGAAAAAAAATACTGGCAGGTAATAATTAACTAATCTATGTGTAAACACTGAGAATAAGTTCATAAGTGGCAGTTAGAGTGAACCCAAGTTAAAAGAAAGTAATGTACTGCCATTCTAGCTTTTTCTCTATTATACTGTATCAAGTCTTCTGATTATGCAGAGGCATAGATAACACAAAAGTTTACATTAGTAAAGCTTTTGGTATTTTCTTACAATCACACTGATGGCTGCCTAGATTAAAATGCAAAAGGTCAGGTACAAAGCTGGTTAGAAAAGAGAACACTAATCAAATACTTATCTATGCTTAATGTAAATGGAAGCTAGGATTCTCCCAAGGATGCCACAGGATTTTTACTACAACCATATGAATGACCAGGACTAGGCAGCTAATAGTCAAGAGAATTGGGAGTGAGGCTATTAATTGATAAATGACATGAAGATAAGGGGAGAATCAATACACTGGAGACCAAACTTGATTCTACACAAGTAATAGAACTGGTGTGTAAAGAAGAGAATGCTGTTCCATAATGACAAGTACACAGGAATGGATAATCAGCCATTAGAATATCTGACAGCTAATGGCTGGATGGTAGGTTTGCATAAAGGGATGCAGTAGCGCGGCCAGCCTGAGTCAGCGGGTCATCCTCTGAAAAAAGTTTATGTCACAATGGGATGTATAGTCAGCCTGGAAGTCACATTTTCAGTCTACTTAGACGGGGCATAACGTCTAATTTTAGGGTGCTGCATTTCAAGAAAGAAGAGGAGGTACTGGAACTGGCTGAAAGCCTGGGCATGGAATGCTTAGCCTGCAGAAAGGAACATATAAGCCAGGCAGAATACTAAACAAAAAGATATTGCAGAAAGGACAGGAAACCTACTCTCAAGATACGTGAAGTATGAAATCAAGGTGGATTAAATTTCATGACAGAACACTCAAGAATTAATAAAATCAAATATTCTCAAGTTTGGGATAGTAGAAGTCAAGCATATGTTGACTGGAGAGAGTTCATCATTGTAGATGTCTAAGAATGAGCAGAAGAACATCTGTGAGATCTCAAGAATGAGTTGTCTGGCCTTGTATTGAGGTAGAAATTAAACAGTCTGTTGAGATCCCATTTGGTTCCATTTCCTTGGCATTCAGCATTTTTAAACAATGAAAAGACAAAAGCTCACAGCTTCTATAAATCACACACAATTCACTTTTATATGCTCAGAGTAGCGTTGCACAGCGTACACTTGGGCACTAGGAGGAAAGAAAAAGAAATAAACCAAATCACTTGGACTTTTTCTGTGGGAGAGTGACACTGGTTCCTTTACAGTCGTAAGGCATCACAAAATGCCAACAAAAGGAGGAAAATCTCCCAGATGGCAGGCTCCTATCCTAACCACCCTTCAAACGCGCCCTACTGTAATTCTTTTCTAAAACTCTCTTCTACAGCTGGATGTTCAAAGGCTTCTTTCCTTTCAAGTGTGAGTTTTTCACCAACAGGGGTGAGCGTAATAACTTCTTCAGAGAACTAATATGTGTGGTGAAGAAAAAGTATAAATTAAGAAAATGAAAAAAAGGAAGGAAAGGAGTCCTCCAAAGACAAAACAGACAAGGTGACATGAAGTGGAAAGTCAATGGGAAGACAAACAATGTGTTTTTACTAAAGCTGTTAATTCACTCTTCACATCTCCCACTCAAGTCATCAATCACAACATAAACTAAATAGAGCTGAGAGCACAGCTGCTTGCCTGCCACTGTAAATGAACCTTCTGTATATGGAGTCCTGCTCCAGCAAGCTGGCGTCTTCAGAGGAAAAAACCTCAGCTAGAAAAATAAACAAATCAGGTACCACAATCCTCCTCCCTATATTTTTTCCCAACGAATATATGCTACTAAGTTTTAACCCCTTACTGCTTGCTAACTAAACCAACTAAAACCTGCTTTCTCTTTTCTTGTAAAATTCTTCCTCCTTAACAGTCAGAGCTGAGGAAAGAGGCAAGGGGAGAGATCCAGCATGAAGCAAGAAATGTTTTCTTTTCTAAGTCAACTCTTCAGTCTTAACTCTTTTAAGCAAGCATTTTGACTGTAGAAACATTGCTTATAGAAGGATTGTTGAGCAGAAAGCTTGACAGCAGCAGGTACTAAACAGAAAGCCATCTTATGGAAAGCTGCAGGAAGAGTCAGCAAGCATCCAGACTGGCCTGTTGCCCTGCTTGGCACTTTGGACAGAATGGCTGTGTATTGCAGAGTCTTCATTCACCTTCTCAACATATAGCAACCAAAGGGAAATCTGTGACTCTACAACAGCTGAAATTCCTGCTTGGAAGTCAGGAGCATTTGGGGTACACCAAGAATAAATATCTAGATGCATAAAGAGTCTTGCAAAGAGCAAAATTTGTTCTGTAAGGAATATTTGTCAGCTACTATGATGCACGTATTTTACACTTTTTCCTAGCCTGTGTTTATTGTTGTGTCAGATTAAACGATATAGATGTTATACAGTGGTCAGTGGCTCACAGATCCTGACGGTGACATGCAGGGATCTACCATGAATCTACATCTTACCTCTGTGCTACAAGACATACAGTGAAACATTTTGCCACTTACAGTCCACTGGCTTGGCACTTCGGGTTCTGAACAGCATTTCTGGTGCAGTGGCTTTAAGAAGTCATGAGAGAGAAAATGCAGGAAAAATAGGCTGCCTCCCTAAACCTCTTGAGCCTGTTGTCAGGCCTTCTGTGATTCAGAAAAACTTGGCTTTTTTCCTGGCATCATTCCTGAGCAGCGCTCTCTCCAGCACTGTTTTATCCGCTCATACAAACAGAGCCATCTCCCCCTGCATATAAATACACAAGGAAGATTTCTAGTTGAACTATTGTCTCCAAAAGCTACTGAAAGTAAAGGCAGCATGAATTAAAAGCAGACATAAACTCTAAGGAAAACATGACAACAACGATAGTTAGGTCTGGAAGTTTGAGGAGGTGCTCTGTATTGCTTCATGAGCAAGACAGCAATGCTTCCAGGTAGAGTACCAATAAATGAAAGTAATCACAGACTTTGAGGCAGAAACTACCATTCAGAATGAGAAGCATTATCTTTGTTTTATGCCTTAAAATCATACTGAAATTATATAGTTTTGAATAAGAAAGGGTAGATCATATCTAGCTCCCATTACAGCTTCAGGGTTTATTTTGGGGCATGCATAAAATTTGACTGGATGAAAATTAATTGCAGACTTTTTGTAAGAACAGAATAGTGCATAAATACTTATTCTAAACTTCAGCAGCACTGCAGTGAAAAGATACGGAAATCACAACATATGATTTAAAGAAGAAACAAAATCACAGAGGAAGAGTAAAGTAAGGCTTTTGTTGGCTATGAACGTGGCTCAGATTGCCCTAGAAATACTATTTTATGACACAAGAGAAGTTAATCACATATTCCCAAATATAAATGCCATCATTAAGCAGTATGTTGGGTACAATTGTAAATCTATGTAGTGAGATGCAAATGTAAGTTCTGAAGAAATGTGGAGGTTACCTTTGCAGATGGTGTTGTGTCCCTTCTTTAATCCAAGAAATGCTACAGAACAGGAATGCAGCAACATTTCTCAATTTGTATGGTACCATACAGTTACTTATTTTAGAGGGTGCTGCACAAGCTATTAGAGTCTCACCTAAAAGGTTTTCAAAGTTGGAATACTACGGATAGAAAACAGGAGGGCAGACAAGACCTGGTTTGAGTAAAATGGCTATATTTCTGGGAGGCAGACACTGTCCAAAGGATGAAATCCTGACTTAACTGAAGTCAAGGTTAGTAAGAGAGGGAGTACAGCATCTAATCACATCTGTAATTAGGAATTTACTTTTCATACCACTGAGAATCCTGGGCTGAGTTAATAACAAAAAACATATTGAATCCAAATCAACTTACAAACTCCACTAGCTTTCCTGAGGCTAACATCAGCTCTTTCCATTCCTGTTATGTCACACAGATTGCTTTGGCTAATCTCAGTTCCATGGGCTTAATCAGAAATAGGCATTTCCTGCCATGTTTTTGTTTGTTTGCCTTTTCCTGTGGGTGATTAGAGTATCTTTGTAACTACTTGCATTACAGATTAAATACCACCTGCAGGTGGGCTGAAGTAATCACATTCTGCTGAATGTTTATTAAAATAGTAATTGCTTTCATTTCCTCATATACACAGTGCACACACTATTCATTGTATAAAATTATGTTAAAATAAAGAAGTAGAACTATAAACCTTTACAGACATGGAAAACCTCACTTAGTCTTCAGCTTAACTGCACATAGCAATTGTAGATGGAAACAACTTGTTATTGCAGAAGCTGGTATGCTTGAATAATTTTAAGTGCTTTGAAAACCTTTTGCCAGTACTTTACAAATAGGTAGCAGCATTTGCGATGCCTAGGAAGCTTTACTTGCACAAACACTGAATTAATCTGGTGCTCAGGAAAAATATTCAATGCCTGTCACAGGGCTTACTATATTGTTCTTTCTAATACACGACCAAAAAACTTCAGGAGTCCAAGTCACTTTTTTGCATGGTGATGTGCAGTCTCCTGATTGATGAAACCTGTCCAGACCTCTGAAGTGCCTGCACTCCATCTCTCCAGTCCTGGTGATCCTCAATTTAAACAGCCTCTTTTTTTTTTTTCCTTCAAACACTGCCCTCCTTGTCAGAGAAGTTATCTGGCTAGTAGAAGAATGCCAAACGCTTTGAGTTCATGTAGACCTATACACCCACAAAGTCCTATGCTGATTAGAGCAAATAAGTCATGTTGTACAGTTTATGCAAACAAAAGTTGCACAACAGAATTTAGAAGTATTACAGTGGCCAGGTACTAACTGGAATCTGCTCCATTCCCCTGGTTTGATTATGCCCCTCAAAACTGAATGGTGGTTTTTTATGTGTCTAATTCCCTTCATCAGTGGCAAAATAATTTCCAACATCAGTTGTTGGTTTTGACAATAGAACATGGTTGTTCTGATATCATACCATATCACAGCTCACTGAGCTTGCTCATGTGGGAGATACCTCTGCTAAGCAAAACAAAGCTCATAGGAAATGCGTGACTGAGCAGGTGTTGGCTGAAAAGCCATGTACGTGAGGACACAGATCTTGTCCTAAAGAAATTAGGTTTTTTTCCTGGGAAGCACTTCTTCCAATTTCAAATGCAGCAAGCCCTGAGCCCACAGCACCATACCACTGATACCAACAGAGCATAAACTAGCATGGAAAAAACATCAATGCTTCTATTCATGCGTACCTAATCTCAGAGAGCTGAGGTGGAGTGCATCTTCATCACATCTCCACAGCAAGCAAGAAAAAGGTATTCAGACAGCTTTCTGGCGTAACTGGCTGGTGAGTGGGTCTAAAAAGAATGCCACTAGTCAATCAGTTGTCATCTCTGGTTCAGGAGCTTCTTTGTTAAGAAATAAAAAAAAAAGTATCGTTAGTTCTTTAGTCCTGTGTCATTACCATTCTTTCATTAGCTTACCTGTTACTAAAATTGCAACATTAACTAAGCTGCACTAGATTTATCTGGAAACAGATTTTCAAGATCATTTAAATCATTGGAACCCTCATAAGCCAATGTGACAGATAAGATCACAGAATGGCCTGGGTTGCAAAGGAGCACAGTGCTCATCAGTTCCAACCCCCTGCTGTGTGCAGGTCGCCAACCAGCAGCCCAGGCTGCCCAGAGCCACATCCAGCCTGGCCTTGAATGCCTGCAGGGATGGGGCATCCACAGCCTCCTTGGGCAACCTGTGCCAGTGCCTCACCACCCTCTGAGTGAAAAACTTCCTCCTAATATTCAACCCAAACCTCCCCTGTCTCAGTTTAAAACCATTCCCCCTTGTCCTATCACTATCCACCCTCGTAAACAGCCGTTCCCCTTCCTGTTTACACACTCCCTTCAAGTACTGAAAAGCTACAATGAGGTCTCCCTGGAGCCTTCTCTTCTCCAGGCTGAACAAGCCCAGTTCCCTCAATTTTTCCTCACAGGGGAGGTGCTCCAATCCTCTGATCATCTTTGTGGCTCCTCTGGACCCTCTCCAACAGCTCTCTATCTTTCTCGTGCTGGGGGCTCCAGACCTGGATGCAGTACTCCAGATGGGGCCTCACAAGAGCAAAGAGGGACAATCCTGTCCCTGCTGGCCACCCCTCTTCTGATGGAAGATTGTTTCAGATGCTGTTATTTTTTTTCTTATTGGTTTATTGGTAATTTGGAGAGCCCTTGTATTCAGATATCATTAAGGAGATGCTTTTTATATGCTTTTTGCTTTTGACTGGTCTTTCTCTAGAGAAAGACTTACACACCAGCCACTGTAAGGGGCTGGGGATTATACTCTGGATCCCACTTCCTATTCCACACCAACTGGGGAGGAACCACCCCCAAAATTCTGCTTGTGCGATGCAGCCAGCTGAAGTTGCTATGCACAACATCCTTAGTTACCGCTGGCTTCCCAAACATCTTGAAAATTACTCAAAATTAAATTAAACAGATAAAACATTTTATTTGATTTGCCAAACTGATCTTTATAACGAGCTACTTGAATTCCTTTGTAATGCTACTTCTTGAAGAGCCAAGAACTGCTTAGGAATAGGCTTAGGAAAAAATAGGCTTAGGAAAATTTGCAACTCATCTTGACTTTTGGAAGTGAACATGGCTGGCATGGCATGGCAATCATTATTTTAAAAATGCAGTCTGTAGGCAGCTAAACATGGTATTTTCTTGCATATTAAATACCAGCATTTGGTTTCGAATCAATTTCACAACATGCTTGTGAATGCAGACCATACAATGATGCCAATGTACAGCATGAAGTCATCTCTGTGCGCTATTAGAAGAGCAGAGAGTAATTTTACACAAAAGGTGTCTACATCTGGTACCGTTCATAAACACTTTCCACTTTTCCCATTCAAAATAAAAATAGCAACGTAGGAAAATCTGGGAATCTTTCAAGAATTGCTATGAATTACAGGAGAAGGAAAGTTCCAGCAATTATGGGGATTTGCCACGGACGTTTGCATACTTATCCCAGCAAATGTTTGATGGTTTCATAGCAATTTGCAAACACATCATGTGCACTGATCGAGAGGTTGCTATTTTCAGGAACGAACCCAGGGCTCTTCACATACCTGGTGAAGACAAAATCTCTCAGGGACAACTTGGAGATAAAGTCTGAGGGCTTTTGTGAGCCCCCTGCTTCCCAATGACAGGGACTGTTTTAGGCCACACACAGTGGAGAGCTGGAGGATCTTCTGCTAAAATCATCTACCCCTTTCCCTTTCATTCAGACTCATCTTTGCATTCACAAAAGGGTGACCCTTCTGTGCTGCTAAACAAAATGTATTTCTTCTGCCTATGTTTCTTTCAAACTATTAGCATTTTTCTGGAGCCCACTTATATAAAAACTGAACTCCACATCTGAACTTAGCAGTCACTAAAAGAAGCAATCTCTTCATCCAGTATTAAAACAAATTAAATGCATGTCAGTTTCCACCCCAGAATACTATATTCCTCCATTCAGTAATAACATTCTAATTTCTTCAACTACTTTCAGCTCAAGAGGACACGAAGCTAAAACAATGTGCCTAGTTTTTTAAGTAATATTTCCTAATGTCATCAGTGTTTACCTTAAATGTAAACATTCTCCATTCATTCCCTGGCACGCTGATGCAGTGATCTGGTAGAGTGTGTTAGAATTCCCTGAGCAGTTTTTCACACAGTGAAATTTTATGGATCGTCCTACAGTTACGTGCTCAAAAAATAAATATAAAACAATTTAAAAAAAACCAATAGCAACAACAGAAAATGCAGAAATTCAGATTCTAGTACTTCTTAATGGAAACAAACTTGGCAGAAAACCAAGCAGCAACCTTTCCTTTCCTTTTATTTATGCTGTATGCCTAAGAGTGACGGTACTTTTCATAACCAACCATTTCACAAACGTGCAGAGTTGGAGGGCTGGCACAATGCGACTCTCACAAAAGAGTATCCACTTTCAGCCTTTCAAGGTTTGCAACAGTCCATTCCAGAAGCTGAGTTCTGCAGGAGTACCAGCTTAACAGAAGCCTTCCACTTCTTTAGTTGGCTGTCGACAAGGAAAAAAGAAAAGATAAAGACAACAGGGGAGGGTAAAAGCCAAGCAATTTTACTAGCAACACAATAATTGACAAAAATTTACACTGCATTAACAATTGGATTCATTCTAGTGAATGGCAACAAGGGTCTATTCGTTGAAAAGCACAGCTTTTCAGAAACCTGAATTTGACCTAGACAGGTACAGGGGGACAGACTTTAACTGAGACATACTGGCATAGCCTCACTTCCTTCAAGTACCTATGCTTACAGACATGAACTGAGATATCCAAAGTTCATTTGTTTTTCAGACCACAAAAGTAGGGCTTCATGTTCTACCAATGTATTTTAGTAAAGCTGAGTAATGGAGTCTCACTTTGCTTTAGCCCACACATTTTCATGTTTCCCATACATCTGTTAGCTTTTTCAGGCTTTCACTAAACCAAAAACACATCTGAATTTCCAAACATCACCTGATTCGGTTGAGTTTGTTCCCGTTACTTCATTTTTTCTGTTGCACATATATCAGCTAATGTTAAACAATGAAGACAACTAAAGTAGTGTCTTCTCCACAGGTTACTAAATGACCATTAATCTTTTCCTTTCAGCTTGAAGTCCTCCACAGAGCGACGGAGTTAACTTAATTTGGACATTACACAGAAATTCAGATGTGAAAGCTGGAGCAGAGAACATGTCTGAAGAGGTAACCAGAATGGTGCAGCAAATGAGAAGACTTTGCACAATATCATGGCAGCCTCTCTGAAAGGCAAACTATCTAAGTTGTCAGAGCAAACAGACAGTTATCCAGCATCCAAAAATATACTTTGTTTGCACATATTTAGCTAAAGGAATATTAAATAGCGAGATGATAGTTAAAGAATAGATAATGAGATAATGAATGAAAGGTAAACAAAGAACAGGAAAATGTGATTAGTCATCTTCATTTCACTGGCCTCAATATTTTTGTTACTTAAATCAATGACAAAATCACTCTTAACTATAGGTGAAAGACGTTTGAAACCATTGTGTGTGCTTGCTTCTGTTGTGATAAGCTTCAAGCTGCACCTCCCAACATGTATTTGCAAGCACTCAAACAATTCTTACAGCACTATCTGTTTGTCCAAAACAAAACCACGGGTTTGAAGAAAGAGTACATGCAAAGACAGTATGTTGCAATTTGAAATGTCAAAATATGCTTTAAAAAAAAGTTCTAAAGTCACCTATGATATTTGATACTCTATTCCCACGTTTCTCTTAATTTGTTTATGTAACACTGCTGCAAGCTGCTGAACAGGAATGGCTGCATTTTTGGGATGGATGTAGTAAGCCGATAAGCATAGACTGGGGAATTTAGGGTGAGGGAGAAAGCGAGGCCATATACAAAGGACAGAAAGAGCAAGAGGGCTTCAAGACCTCAAGTGAGGGCAAATTCTTGGCTGCACTGGAGTTTGTTCAATTGTTTCAGGAGAATCTAGATGATAAGGGTGGCTATGATGCGCTTGTATCTTGTGTAATCCATCTCAACTGTGGAACACAAGGACCAAAACAACCATTCTCTTGAGATGGCCTCCTCCTTACAAATTTTCAGTTCAAAAACCTATCTCCAAAGATAGCAGTTTGGCAGCTTTAAGACTGATTCTGGGATAAATAGGATATATTCTTTTAGCTATTCAAGTAAAGGAAGGAAGAACAAATAAAATATTGAGATTCTTCCTGCAGAGATATTACCACTCAGAATACTTGTACGTGTTAAAATCTTTCCTTTGGATTACTTTCCAGTGAGCTCTCACAGTACCTCCTGAAGTCTGCCTCAGTCGCATTTCTGTGCTCTGCCAAATGTCTCCATGACTATATTTTCCAGTATGATAGGACTTCTGTGATGCAAACTGCATTACCATGTAACCATCATCTGGCTTCTTCCAGCAAACCCAGCCCTGCAGCAGAAGTGAAAGAAGGCACTGTGAATGTTTCATAACAACTGAGATGAATACAGACTAATCAGAAGCAAATCTAAATTGAAATAATTGCCTTAGTTTGACAAATTAGAATTCATACAGTCAGCATGACAAGAAGTGCTACAACTTCTTTCCAGTAGCAAATCCAAAATCAGCTAAATAATATTTAAACCCCTCTCACATCCACCTCCAGTTCATTTTCCACGAGGACACCCCCAGCTCATGCCGAAGGGCAACATGGTTCCCACTTGGTAATTCATCTTCAGTGCTCCTTCAAGCACAGAAAGTGTCAAAGCTGTCATCTTTTGTTTGAGCTGATGAGCAGTGTGTAGACAGAAGGCAGAGATGTACGGCAGGATGTGGTTGCACAGTAGGTGGCACTTTCCTCTATGAGGTTTCAGTCTGGCAAGAAGCCCTGGTCAGTTCCAGACAACAGATACATTGTCCAAAGGTTCAGAAATTGAAGTGTTATTTTTTCCAGTGCTTTTCACTTGCAGAACTGCTGATCTGCTGTTGTCTAAGAACACAGCCTCATGTCTCTCTTCGCCATGGGGAACGGGCTGTTGTTGGAATCCTGTAAATATTGTAGTGAAGTCTTGTGCTGAGTGTTCTGACCACATTCAAATCAGGTCAACTTCACTCCGCTGTGCAAAATGATCTTAGTGGTTTGATTTGGATGAAACTGTTCTTTGTGTGCTTTGCACACACCTCTTCTATCAACTGCTATTTCTGTGAGAGTGGCTACTTTCCAGGAATGGAGAAATTGATCTCTGTGTGTGCTTGAGAAGGTGAAAAAGAGACAATTCAGCTGAGTTCACAGTTCACCTGACACTGTTGTTAGAATCTCAGAGGAGATGGTATGAAACAGTGACTCCCTGAAATCCTTCATCAGGAATTAGACAATACAATAGTTACAGTGGTTTAAAATTAATTTTTTCCACGGGCCCAGAAATAGTCTAATCAAACAAAACAAACATGTGGAATGCATCAGGCTTAAATTTTCAACATCAGCAACACTAATAGACCTTTTCTATAGCCAGGCACAACCCCTGTAATTCCACAAATTAGACTGAGCCCCTGGGAACTGTGCAACTGCAGCTGCTACACAGATGTGCAGATAGAAAATAAAGCAGATTCTTCCAAATAAGACTGGATGGGGTTCTGAAGCTAATAACATTACCACTGATCTAGTGTTGACTGATAACTTTCTTCATAAGAAAAAGCCATACATTTTACCCTGTAGCAAAACACAGTCAGAGCTGAAAAGCGTCTTCCCACGGATGGGTGACAAAATCAAATTCCTCTCACTATCTGAACTCAACTGTGCTGCAACAAGAACTGAGGACAAACTCCCACTTCAGAGATGGTTAGATGACTAAACAAACTTTCAAAAGTCTGGCCTTGAGCACTTGTTTTTTTGGCACTTTTGACAACCACAGCTCTAAGATCTAAAGAATCTGACCGTGGCAAGTTTGTTTGGCGTGGAGCCCGTGTGGTTCAGCAAAATGCTTTAACAAAATGACTTTATAGAGCTCCGTGAACTTTACCAATTGGAAACTATAAATAAGTCACCAATGTTCAGGCAGTGAACTGAACTTCAACAACCTTTAAGAAATCCTAATTAACACAAACACTGACAGCACACCGAACACTTCGGACTGCTCCTCCATTACGTGGGCATACCCACTTACAGCTAGATTCAAATGGCCAGAGTGGAAAGAATCCCCCTGCACTTAGGAAGAGAGAATAAAAAATGAACAAAGCGGTGATGAATATAGAGCGTGAAGCAGGAAGGGACAGGAAACAAGGAGAAAAAAAAAAGAGAACAAGGATTGAAAATGGACATGAGTTGTAAGTGGATGTCACTGATGTGACAATTTCATAGGTGAGGGGGCAAAAGAGAACTTTATCAGTAAGCATCCTCCCAAACACACATCTTACTGCAGAACTGTTTAAAACAGATTAGAACTGATTAAAACTGCATTTTAATCAAAAAGGCCTTTTATATGCTCCTCTTGGAACCTCATCAAAGTGTTGCCTCCTTAGTCAGTATATTTCTTTAAGTCCCCGAATGTGCCTGAAACATTCCCTTTTGCTACTGCCGTAATGGCCTACAATCACTACGAGCTGTGGTCTTTTCAGCTAGGGTAAACAATATTGTGCCAATATTTGGCTGACAAAAACCTCCAGAAACATACCAGGAGCTTAAAATGGAGACATTGTAATTTTGTACACAGCACTCCTCCCTGTGAATTACTGTTCTGCTAGCATCCTACCATGCCATTAGGAGACAGCAGTCTGATACCAGCCCAGCTAACCTAGGGCTTGTTTACAGTGCAATGTATTTGCTAAGGCATCACCACACCAACGTAACTACTCCCTTTCTGCTCTCTAGCCACAGGCAATCTCTCCAAGATTTGCAGTATGTACCACAGAAGTTTCAGAGACCCTGGCAGTCTTTCACAGAAGTAAGCAGCACAACAGTGGTGCCTTTGCCCAGCTCCCAGGGCACACGCCACAAACATCTTTCTCAAGCCAAATTATTCCTACATAGTTTCCTTGGAGTGCAAGGTATTTCCATTCCATACCAGTCTAGAGCTGCTTATCTGGACTAGTGGGTCATTGTCCATTTTCCACCATCTGAGTCCAATGACTGAGAAGACTTGCTCATAACGTGCTGTTTTTAAAGCTCTTTCCAGATAAATACATGATGATATTTTTAAGGATGCCTTCCTGCAGCAGCTGAAAACATTACAGACTCTGACACCTACCTCATGGGGAATGGCATGCAGAGCTGAAGCTCAAAGCAGCACTGAGGCAATATCACTGGGAGCTGATCCTATTCCTCACCCAGTCTTGCAGATTACCCCCTGCACGCGGCTGATGCTGTGGCTGATCAGCGTGTGGCTGATCCTCCAGAGAGAGGCAGGTCAGCACGCTGCACACTGGCCCAGCTTCCTCCATTTCCACCCTGGAGAGGCAAAACTCACAAGGGGAACTTAGCTATAAAGTGCCACAACGCGCAGAGCAGCTGCTATTTCTCTTTGTGCCCCACTCAAGAAGTGAAGGGAAGAAGCTACAGCTTTGCTCCTCAGCTTTTGGCACCGCCTCTTTCTTTACATGAGGATAACTGGAAGGCTGGATGAGCTAGGGAATTAGTAATGAGTGATAAAATGCTTTTCAAACACCACATGTGCTTCTGATCAGTATTCCCTGGACAGCACTGCAGGGCTGCCATTGCTGCAGAACAAGACTGCCTGTTTCACTTTTATGTATTGGTGGTAACACAGAGGCAGCTAATCGTCCCAGTTCTGTAACACTGTAAGTAATAAAGCTTGTCCTCATAAGTTTGTATGTAAGACAGCCAGTGTAAGAAAGGAAATCATATCTTTGTTTTGCTATGGCAACTGATGCACTGGGATGTTTTTGCAAGGTCACATCGGAAACCTGCAGCTGAGCCAGAATTTGAACCTATCTCTTCTGTGTGCAATTACATCACTGCCCTAACAGGTCCTTCCTTCCTGTCATACATTTGTTGTCTGACTTCTAGCTAAAGGCTTGAACCCAAGAAAATCAGCACGGAAAACAAGCATTACACGGTTGCATCTAGAAAACAATTCCATCAGCAGTCAGCAGACAAAAATTCCTACTACACTTGCAGAGCAGGACAGAGCAGTTATTCTACTGGCAAATCACAGTCAAATGCTACCTAGCTTTACTATGAGGCTCCCCATCGCATGTTCTAGGAGGTATAATTCTGGGCCAACTCTGAAAGCTATCCATGGGAAAAAAACAGCAAAGCTTGTTTGTATCTGTGCTGTGGAGGTGTGAACAGTACTAGGAGATGGAAATTTAGACCTAATGTACCAGCAGAAAGAGCTGGACATTGCTCAGCACATTGTTCAGCACAGCTGCTGGTTCACTGCCCATTGCAGATACCTTTGCTTTCCTCAAGGAGCCCTAAATAAGAGCCTAGGATCTGACTAAGCAGAAATTGTTTGTTCTCTCCCAGAATGTCATGACAATTGCATTCATTTTGGGGAAGGTTTGCAGATACAGCATCGTCAGCACTAATGTCTTTGGACTGATGCTGAGCTTGTACAGAGCACACCGCTACTTCTCAGAACAAGCACAGTAACAGAAAGGACAAAGCAAAGAGGGAACACCAAGAAAACTCACAGCAGCAGATACTGTGAAACTGATAGCCTTAATTTACTGCATATTCTTCTCAGAAGTTACAGTAATAGAACATAAAAAACAAAAGAGTTCCACATATTTCAGTTGTTCACAGATCTGAATGAGATGCATGCTAGCATTGCAAATTCTACTTCAAAAATTTAAGTGCAAGTAATAATCTGTTTTCCCCACTTAGTTATTGCTGTAAATCTGTAACATTCAACACTTTCACTTCACTGAAAAATCCTAGTTCACAAAAAAGAAAGAAGAAAAGAAAACTGGCTTAATTTTGGATTGGGTCAAACTGCTTGTGTGTTTTTTTGGTTTTTTTTGAGGGGGGGGGGAGGGGGAATGTGGAAGGGGGAAAATTTCCCTGAAATCTGATAAAGTACATCCACGCTGAGAAAGACAATTTCACAATAACAACAAAACTCTTGCTGTACAAAGCTGTACACATAGCTTTGCTCCTGCATTCCTGCAGGTCTACAGACTAATACACTTCGAAGAAACCTTATTTCAGAACTATTCAGTGGCTATGAGAGTTTTCAAGACTCCTAGTTCTTTTACTGCTTCAGCTGGGACCCTTGGGCCAGCCTATGCCTTGGGTTTCCGTGTTCTTGCCACTCCTTGGAAATGCAGCTTCTATGGTGTGGGGAAGGTCACAATTCAGAAAAGCCAAACACAAAAAGAGAACCAAGCCAGTCCAATACAAATCAGCCTTACAGGCAGAGTTTCAGTAGAGTTGTGAAGTTGATTTGATGAAAACTTGCCAAAGTCTTTTATTGCAGAAGAGCTGCTTTAAA